TTATTATATATTTAAAAACGTTTAAGAGCACAATATATGTAAAAATGTGTTTATATTATACAAGAAAAATGTATTATGAAATCAACCTTTGGGACAGTCAAACTGAAAATTATATGAAAAATCGCATATTCTCATAATTGCATTCTCTCATTGTATTAAAATAGGAATCGAGTGCATTATCTACATTAACTATCTAATTATCGAATAAAATGCACAGCTGACCAGCTCAAAAGTTGGTTAAGAACTGCGTTTAAAGTAAAGTTTACTTAAAATAAATTGAAGCAAGCGTAGGTAAAATGACTAAGAAGTGCGTTTTGAGCACTGAACAAACGAGAATCCACGTGAGGGAAATAACAGACAATTAATTAGATATCCAAAAGCACGGGCTTGGTTTCCTTGGCACACTTGAACACCGAACGCACCATTTTCAGGAAGCCCGTATCTTTGGGCTTTTCCAAGCCGCGTTGCACGCGATTCTTCATGACCGAAATGAATTCCTTGTTGCTCAGCTGGTTATCGTCTGGAAGGAATATGGAAATCGAGAATTAAATTGACTGTAAATGGGGCTGATGCTCCATGACTTACTATTCTCATCGAATATAGTGAAGACCACATCCACGACGTGGTCGGTCAGGTTAACCATGGCCACCGTCTTGGCCACATGTTGCAGAGTTTGCTGATCGATTGAGGCGCCCGCAATGTGGTAGAAAGTCAACGCCGTATCTACATCGTTGATATTGTTGAGGAAGTGGAAAAAGTCGAGATAATCCTGCTTGGATATGCCCCTTCCATGGTCACGAAAGCGCCGCTTCACACGCTTTAGCTTCTTTTGCTTCTTTTTGGGCGGATAGCCCGCATAAGCCAACAGCAGCTCGGCAAAGTCCGCCTCTGTTATATTACCATCCGCATTGGGTTCCTTGCGTTCGAATTCGAGCGAGAGAATTTCACGTTGCAGCTGCTCTTGAAAGTCCAAGAACTTTTCAATCGTCAGCTTCTCGTCCATGTTTGGACCAAAGAAGTACGTTATCAAGGCTGAGTTAACACCCTGAGGAATGCAGATAACGCAATTAGTTCAAGTTCGACAAACGATTTCAAATGTTTTAACAAATATACAAAGAAACAGGTGTGGGCGTGTGCAGGTATTATTATGAAAAGTAGGTGCAATAATTAGTTGAGTTAAGTGTGGGTGTGGGATACGGTAGCAAAACAGAAAGCTTAAAAGGGTTTTTCTTTTCACATAAAGTACCTTCAAGGACTGTTAGTAGTCAAATAAAGGAGGAGAAGTATGTATATACACAGTTAGACACGCATTTAACGGACACGCGTATTCAAAAGGATTAAAGCCAAAAGACAGAGAATATACAATACAAAAATCGTTTAGTACAGCATTCTCAATACTCGCTCACTGCATGGAACTCTTCTGAGAGCGAGAGAGAGAGAGAGCACACACCGTCCATTCAGACCACAATTACCTTGAAAGTGTTCCCAGTATTCGCATGATCCCGATGCCGAGTGCCCATGCTGGTCTGCTGACGCACCAGGGTGGCAACCATTTCGAACTCTTCGCAGTCCACATCGCCGTCGCCATTCAAATCGAACATTCGAAATGCGATCTCAAAGTGGCGGCGCGAAACTGCAAGAGACATAAACTTGAACTTGATATAACAGCCGTCGTCGTTGTATCATCTTACTGGAGAGTACGGTGAGCAGGAAGATGTAATCGGAGAAGGTGATGAGGCCATAGGAACCCAGCTTATAGAATATGCTATTCTTTTCCAATTGCAAATTCAACTGCTCTCCCACGGACTACAAGAAAAGAGTTATTCGATTAGTAATATTTAAATCATGAAAGTAGAATCTTTCTTACCTTGGGATCATAGCGGCGATACTGATCCAGACCCAGGCCTGCAAGAGTCAAATATTATTTAGTATTGGCCTTCAAATAGTTTGCTGAATTTGGAGTTAGTTTGCAGAGTGAAGTGGAATAACGGTCAGAGGTTTTGAAGCCACATACCATCTGGTTGTTTCATGCCTGGCGTCATGCTAGTCAAAAAATCGGTTGGTGTCATGTAGACCTCATGGCGATCATCGGCGACCGGCACTTGGATGGTGGCAAAGTAGCGAAATACTTTGTCTGGCGTCGAGAATTGCCTGATGCGATTCTCATACTCAATAATCTAAGCAATAAGCGTTTAGGAAGAATTAATTTTTAATTTTTAGTTACTCGATTTAGCATTTAGCTAAGTGCGATCGGGCACGCAGGCAGTGCAGGCAGAAGCAGAGAAAGAACAAGAGGAAGAATTGCAAAATTGAACAGAAATCGAAAGAACTAAGCTGACGCCAACATAAAACTGCGACGCTGTTGTGATCCGCTGTGATCGTGTTAGTATTTACAATCTAAATATACCTATATAACAGAATTACCATCTGGTTGCTTAATGCCCGGATAGATAGAGCGCAAAAAGTCCTCGGGTGTCATGCATACGATTGTCTGTGTGGCATCCTGTAGACGCACCGTGGCAAAGTACCGAAAGATCTTATCTGGCGTTGAGAATTGTCTGATACGATTCTCGTATTCAATAATCTATGGATTTATGATGTTTGTTTGATTTGTGTTTGTTGATTTGTGTGGAGTGTGTGCGATGGCAACAGAAAATTTGACGGGCAAACATAAAGAGAAACAAAAGGCATAAGTCAACTTAAGTAAAGTAGTAAATATTTATAGATACAGCAGTTGCATAGTCACAAAAGATTTAGATAGACTTCGGGAAACCGTTCACTTTATATATCGCATACCTTGCGCTCGCGAAACCCAACTTTTTCCTTAACCTTCTTGCCGTCGCGTGGGTTCAGGCGGGCGTCATCGTCGTCCGACTCGTCGCTGTCAGAATTATCCGAATTGCTTTCGCCATTGACGCCAGCCGCATCAGATGGACGCTGACCCGCATCGGCGTCCACTTTGGGCACGAGCAGTCGTTTGACTCTATAAATAGATGCATACATACATTAAACGATATTTATTGATTAAACGCGACGGCTACTTACTTGCCCCAGTCCAGCACCGAGATGATAAACAAAGTGATCACCATCAAATGAAAATATTTGGTTACCCGAGGTGTCTTCTCCTCGCCATGACCAAAACGCTTGTGACCGCGTGTTTGTTGTTGTTGCCATGGTTGTTGCGCTGGGGCCTCAATGGCATTAGCTGCGAAAATCGCTTTGTAGCTGTTGTTGTTGTTGTTGTTGTTGGCCAAGGATGATATTGCGCGACTATTCTGGAAAGTCGGCACTAGTGAACGCTTTGTTAGCGTTGCCAGCGCCTCTCGCGTTACCAGAAAACGCAGCACAGACATCTTGCAAATGTTCCTTTATGGTTAATTTTTTTCCTGCTTTGCTTTTGCACTGTTATTTTATGCGCATATTCGCATTCGTTCGCAAACTGGTTAATTATAAATGGAACTAGCTGGTTCCAGTTCAGCATGCAAGTTTACACACTTTACAGCACTGAATACAACAGCTGATGAAACATCTGTTGTGTAGGCAGTGTTGCCAGATTAGCTATTTAATAGCATTTTTAGCTATTTTTGAACCCTAAAAGCTATGAAAATTTTGAAAATGCTATTAGCTATAAATTTAGCTATTTTACAAACGAATATTTTGAATTTGATTTTAGTATTTAAAGCCAAAAAAAAAAAAAACATTTTTCGATTAAGTCCCAAATTGTACGTAATGATCTGCGCGATACTACCACCACGACTTTATCGTACTTATACTATCAGTTGTGAATTTACACCANCGCTAATTCTTCTTGGCGCGCTTCTTGGCATTAATTGTATGTGATGGATAAAAAATATAAGCAGAAATTTCGTGATTCCTGGAAAACAATCACCGAATTTAAGAATTGGATTAAGGAGGATGAGTCAGACAACAGGCGGGCGTATTGTATATACTGCAAATGCAGTGTTTTTGCCAAACTGCACGATATTAAAATGCATGCCGCGACAAAAAAACATAAAACTGCGGTTGGCGCCTTTGGGCAAAAAATTTAAACATTTTCCATGATTCCATTTAAACATGATTCCAGTTAATCAAAAATATAATTCTGATGATGATTTGGATGTGGACCAAATTGTAACATTATTAAATAACATTTAAAAATAAAAGGTTTCAGCTATTTTGTAAGCTATTTTAAAATTTGTTTAGCTATTTTCAGCTATTTTTTAGAGACGATTTTGCTATTTTTATGTCTCAAAACCTGGCAACACTGTGTGTAGGCAAGCCGTGCAGTGAACAAGTGTTGGATAGCACACAAATCAATTCAAAATTCTTCAAATATTTTTGTGATTTATGGACATAAGTTTATATGTTTATATAATTTATGATAATAACACTAATGGGTATGCATGTGTAAATTTCTTCGACTATTATTAATATGCTAACGTAGTTATTAAAGTAGAATATGTTTTATTTTGGCATACATTAGATACAGAAATTAAATAAATTAATTAATGCAATAAATAAATTAATAGCAACTAATACACTTAAATATTTTAAAGCAAGATCAAAGAGTTTTATATGTATGTACATTATCTGAGAGATCTATCGCCCCACAAGAAGTTGCTTAGCTTCTTTTAGGCTATATTATGTCATTATTTTACTGTATTTGTTGTATTCACCATCCCATGTAGCTGCCACAGTCGAAAAATCTGCTGCGGCGACATTTTGTGCCAGGAAACTAGATACTCTTCTGGTTCCAGGCGACCCTTAAGCAGCAGCTTCAGTTTATTCGGATATAGCACATAAGATGTAAGATCTGTTAGAGTAATGTTACAGCGCTTGGAGAGAATGCCAGTGATCAGGACATCATCCAGTCGAAAAAAGTTGCTACGTTGAGCAGCAAAGTAGAGTCGCTTGGCCACCTGCGAGGAGTAGAAGACTGCAAAGCCCGGACAGAAGGGCGGATAGTAACGATGAGGGTATTCCCGGAAACCGACACGCCACTTGGAGGAATAGGAACGTGCTACTCGATCCTTCTTGTTGATGGCGCACAGCAGCAGCTGCCGCTGAGAATGAAGAGCGGAGAGAGGATTCCAGGTTGAGGATGGGTGGCTCAGGTGATGCTGCAGCTGCAGCGTATTGAGAAAGATGTCATCATCCACTTTAACCAACAGCGGCGCCTGATCGCAGCGAGTGTGAAACCACTTGAGGGCCATTACATGCTTGTAGGTTAGATTGTAGTAGCCATCCAAGAAATTGCCCTGCAGCAAGTCGTTGTGCTGCTCGTGCTCCGCCAGCAGCGACGACTGCAGCTCGTCATCCGCAACAGTGCCGAAGAGAAAGAGGAGACGAAGTGAGGATTGAGAGTTTGAATTGGTCGCCACATGACCCCAAGTTTGCCGTATCGCTGAACGCCTGTCATGATAAGCGCCTGGGTATGGGGCGCACACGAGGGCTGCTCGATAATGTACTCAAAATTATGAAAATCGATCAACTTATGCGGATCTTCACTGTACGGCATGTTCGGATCCACTGCGATCTCAGGTTGGGGCACAATTTGAGGCATATTCGGCAGGTAGGCATAGATCACCACACATAGAGTCATCCACAAGAGTAGGCAAACATTAGAGCTGGATTCCAGAAAGCTTATCAGGCATTTTATCTGTTTCATGTCGCCGATAGGGGGAAACCAATAAATGGTCTTTTATCTGAATTGGCTCTTATGTGTCAGTCCGGACAGAATGCGTATCAAATGGCGACTGCAGGAGTACACGAAACATCGGACTTGCTTATCTCTCTATTTTCCTACTTCCAGATAACAGAATATCAAGTCGATCCAGTATTTGATAACAGCTGACCAAAAAAAAAAAAAAAAAACTATTCTAAAAAATTCGTTGTCAATAATTATAGATAATTTGAATTGACCAAAAAAAAAAAAAAAAAAAAAACTGATATATTTTGAAGTCTTATTAGCTTGGAAATATAACAAGTATTTTTAAGCCTAAATAGGTAGTTCGCCTGTCTAACTACACAAAAATAAACATTGATTAAGTCATAATTTAATTAGGCTTTATCAACTCAATTCAGTTATTCATTATACTTATATGATTAACACTATCGATGAGCAACATAAGTATAATCAATTAAATATAATCTGTTAAAGATTAATACTAATGAATATAATAGAAATAGAGTTAAAAAGAATAATATAGATTCGAATTAAATTAAATGCATTTAATTAATGCATTTCTCTTTTTAAATCATAACTATTATTATATACATATACATGTTACATGTACATATGAATACATATATCTAATGCATACTCTGATTTATGACCTATCATATATAAGCTATATCCACTGTATGTTTAAGGTCGCTAAAAACAATTTGGGCCACACAACGTAAACTTTGAAGCATATGTGTGTAATAGCTCGAGGGATTCGTCGAAGGTCTCGGCGGTAGTCAATCAAGTAATTACCTGCCCACGACAGGTGCTTCAAATGAGCCTCATCAATAACCAACTGGCAATAACCGTTGCCAGCTAAAAAATCGCCAAAATAGTTCACAGTTCTTCTGATCACAAATTAAAATTTTAATTGGCAAATTTTAAAAGGCAACGATATATTACAAATTGTTGATGGGTTTCAAAATGTAAATATTTTCTTATAATAATATAATATTTCTTATATTAATACTACTACCCAAAAACAAATATTTGTTGAGTCAGTATAAATCAATATACATACATATAAGATCCTGATCCTGATTTTATCATATATTCAGCTATTGCTTATATTTGGCTATAAATTTTCTAAAGCAAATAATTTGACATACCTCTTCACGAAATGGGTATATTGGCTTTGTGCAAAGCAACTTCCAATTTGTTTACAGCATGGGAGAAATAAATAACCTCAAAATATAGCCTCAGCTATATTTGTAACTACAAATTCGAATTAAGTTTGTACTTAAGCAATTTTGTCTTTAATCAAAGAGTCAACTAAGTAAATCAGTTTACTTTTAGCTGAAATGAGTCTCGTTTACACTTCCATTAAAATTGACTTATAAACTAATCATATTTGCAGTGCACAATAGCATGCACACTTGGCCTGAATATTTAAAGCTTTCGAATGCTTTGGTAGGCTTTGAGTTTACCGTTAATTTATCATAATCAAGATGGTTATCCTGTTGATGGATTATGTTATGAGCCTATTAGCTGCTAAAGTGCTGATGCAGCATAAATTCTAGCATTTGGCAGCACCTATTTCATTGCAACTGCTGTAATTTGTTATTGTTATTGTTGTTGTTAGTGTAGTTGTTTACTTGTTTGTTAGTTTGTCAACTTAACCATGTACATATACATATGTGTGGCCATTTACAATAACAACATGCTGGATCGACATGCAAGGCAACAAAAAGCAAAAAACAAACACAAGTTGTTGACACATACAAGCAAAACTGCCTGAACTACGCCTCCCACCCACTCCCCCACCCACCCCTTGTGGCTGACCCACCTGCGCCCTAATAAGCATTAATGGTTCAGCGTGAATGGGCAAATGAGGCACATGGTATGTGGATGCGGGTGGTTGACTGGCTGTGCTTGTGGGTGTCCATTCGGTGTCCATTGGGCAAGTAACGCGAAAATGTTGTTTTCCCCCCGTTAAAAGTGGAGCAGGCAAGCCGGACGAATGGGTCCGCCACTGTCCGTGCATTCGGCATGTGGCTGGCGAGCGTTACGGACGTAACTATATATAATAAATTAACGGCACTTTTGAAAGCGACATCGACTATATGATATATTGCAAGGTCTGACGAAAATGCCATCATTTTGCGACTGAGTGATGGGCTGCGGTTCGTCCATGGAGACACAGTCGAGCGCTAGAGGGCAGTTGCCACCAAATGGTGCGTTGCGTCTGCAAGAAAATGGTGGAGCCAAAGTAACGGTAATTTGTATAATAATTTCGAAATCAATACTTCTGGATTCCTGAGTTTTGTATGCGTGTCCAGAATATTGTGCAGCAATACGTGCGTCTCGATGAGCGGATCAGCAAGCTGGAGGGCACCTGTCCAGGTCCGCGCATGGCCACCGTCGAGGCTTGGATCGAGCATCTGCAGGCCAAGCGCGATGTTATGCTGGGTTTGGACGGCATGCAGCACAGTGCGCGTCCAGCGACAGCGCAAAGCCAGCCGAACCGGCTAAGGGGTGAGGGGGCGGAGGCACATCAATTAAGTAGCTACCCCTTGACGTTGGGCAGCGAGCGGGTGGGCAATGAAATCGTTGCTAACACGCCCACCAAGGACCTGGCCCAGGTGAGTGTTCAGTAATTAGCGCCTTGGCACGTGCTTAATGCCCTCAATTATTATATGGAATGTGATTGTCATTAGAGTTATAATAATAATGTCTCTGACCTTCGTCTCGAATTACTAAAAACAAAACTGTAAAGCTGGCTCATAACTTAGGCGTGATTGGTGATCCACGCAAGGCTTCCATGCACGAGGACTTCTTTGCCAATTTGAGCGAATCGGCTCTCTACTTACTTAGCATACGATACTATGGTGAACTTCTGGATCACACCAAGCAACGGCTCAAGGCTCTAACCGCCAGCTATGCGGAGCTCAATGACCTGTACGTGAATCAGGATGGTATCATTGCCTACATTAGTGGCGGCACCTACATGACCCGGCTCGAGGAGACCATCGATGAACAGCTGGAGGTGGCGCGCGATACGCGTGACAAGCTGGGCAGTGCGTTGGAACAGTGGCGTATCTGTGGGCTGCTGCTACGCGCTGCGGCCAACTCGTCCACGCAGGCGCTAAAGCAGTGGCGACAGCTGAATAGGATAATGTGAGTGAATGCTTCAGTTTGAACGATCAAATTTAAATTAAAAAACGAAAATGATAACTCACTGAATACTAAAAGTTCCGATTAATCGATAGGTAAGCTCGATACGCCGATAAATCTAATGTAGACAGCCATTTATATGTATCTTTTTAACGGAAAAGCACAAAATTAAAATTTCATAAAGTTATTAAATATGTATATTAATCCTCTTTAATTTGCAGCGACCCCAAGCAAAAATTGCAAGTAGCACTGGATTGTCGCAGCTTGCTGCATGCATCTCTAACCTCCCTGGAGGCAGCGCAACTGGCTCTGCCACATGTGGAGCTCAAGTACATGAGCAATCGCCAGGTGCTTGCTGTTAACCACTGCAATACGTATCTGATCACAGACATTGCGAATGCAGCGAGGTAAGTTTGCCATGGAATTAGCTTTTTCTAATTCCCCATTTATGTTATTTTTCCGCCAGATATGAGCACACGACCCGCGTCTTTACGAGCTATGAAGTGAATATTTCCAAGACCTGCACCTGGCTCTATGACACATTTAATAAAACTCTACGCAGTGATTTTGACAAGGCAGAAGAAACGGTGCGACGCTTGGCGCGAACTTTGCGTCAGCATCGGGAGGAGACTTTTAGCGCGGCGGGCAAATAAATTACCACTTTCAAATACACATATATTCAAGTATTTTTCTCGCTTTTTATTTTAAGAGAAATTCTTTTTTACATGTTAGCTTCGATAAACATATTGTTGAAAAATATAATTAAATAAGCCAATTATTTTCAAATTATTTATAATTTTTTTTTTTTTTTAATGTACATTGATTCCTAAATGATTAAAGTAAGTAAAATAATCAAACTGCGCGCGCTGTTAACGATTATAAAAATGTTAACAGACTTAACGTAAACAGACTATCAACATATGTCAGAGAGGAAACATAACATTCCTTTATTTTTATTGAACAAAACAGAAGTAAACAAGAGTCTAATACCAATAGCTTTTGGCCGGCGTACGTTCCTCCTTTATGCCCATTTCCTCCATGATGTCCATTTCAAAGGTCGCCAGTTTTGGTTGGAAGGTAATTTCGCTAACAACGGCAGCTGGTGTATCCTTTTCACGCTCGATATAGGCATTGGGTGTTTTGTAGTCATACGTTTGGTTGTTTGTCTCTGGAATTGGTATGATGCGGCCCGAACGCGTGGATACTCGCACTTTTTCACCCTCTTCCGTGAAGCGCCATTCAAATTCGGTACCCTGCAGATCGGATGGATCCACAAGACGTATATCCTTAGTGACATGAAGCGGCGCCTCGGACTTGATGATAATGCCGGGGAAATCCTTCTCAGCGCCCACACGCCGGTAATGCCAATTGATGCCCTCCACAATAACCCAATTGCGTTCGGGTATTACCTGAGTGACAATGCCCTGTTTACCCTTATCCTTGCCGACTAAAACTTCAATGCGATCACCTCGGAAGAAGCTCCAGTCCTCTGAAAAAACATAACAGAAATTAAAAAATCAAGTATTATTTAATAGCTTATAATGCTATAATTACCAACGGGCTCCACAAATACTTTTCGTCGCATAGTGCCCGGCATATTCTGTTGCCGGAAGTGGCCTGTCCATGAACGATTTGTGGTATAGCGGAAACGTTTCCGCTCAACCGTAGTTTGCAGATAGTTTTTCTCGGCAGGTGTTTTCCAATATACCTGTAGATATTGCCGACATTATAACGGGAATGGAAACACGCATTCATCAATGTTTCAGCTGTTACGTGAGCTGCGAATGTGTTGTTAGAGTAAATCAATTACTTGCCTGCTTTTTGCTCCGCTCAATATATTCCTTTGGCAGATTTGAGAAGTTCTTTAATTTACTAGTTAGATATTGTGTGATGCGCATTTTTTAGATTTTAATTTATAATCGCAATTTATTACCGAAAAACTAACTATACAATGCGGCCCCAAACAGCTGTTTGTTGTACGCCATTCACAGTGGCTCGGCGACAATGGAGAAGAAATTGCAGTAAACTATCGAATATAAAATGAGTATCGATATACAGCACCCGAAAAGTACGTAACGAAGCAACGGTGCAACGATTTTTCTTGCTCAATTTACTTGAGAGCGATGCAAAAAACCGGCTTATAATTAAAATAAGGTAATGCCTGGGTATTTAAATGCGTGCACGTGTCAGTGCACTGCCATTTACCAGCTCACCATTGCTGCGCCAGCATCTCTTATGAAAGCCAGTGACGCTTAGTCATAGCCAAAACTTACTCACACACACACACAAACGCTTTGATAAAGATAAATAAAAGCAAGTGGGAAGCAAAACAAATATATACAATATGTCTTATCACATTGTAGATATGACCGATCCTGCCGAGCCAGAGCCTGTGGTGCTCGCCAAACACGCAAAAAATCTGCTGCGCTTCCTGCACTTGTTGCCTGCGCGCATGTCCTCACATGACGACACCAGGTAAGAAGACGTCACATCCTTGCCAAACTAACTGTATTTGATCAGTGATATATGATATATTCACATAGGAGCACAATAGTCTTTTTTGCCGTCTGTGGCCTGGATGTGCTCAACTCTCTGCACTTGATATCGCCAGAGTTGCGCAAGGACATCATAGACTGGACCTACGGCGGCCTCGTAACGCCACGTGACCATGAAAGGCAATGCGGAGGCTTTATGGTGAGCATGAATACCTGTCAGTCAGACAGTCAGCGTGTCAGATACGATAAACAAACAAATAAGCACGGCGACTCGTCAACCAAACAAACACAAATGTCTCCGACTTTATCATTTTACGTGGCGCTGCAGCAGCCACTGCGACAAACGCTCCACTTCCCATCTTGAATGCTATTGCTATAAATTACACGGATCTTAATAACATTAACAAACATGCACAATCGTAATTGCGACTTTCATAAACCAGTTATAGCTTTTAGAACCTGGAAATTCTTAGCTGAGATCTCTTCAGTTGAACTTTAATAATTATGTATATAAAGAAAATAGCTTAAGCTGTTTAGTTTTTGTTTAGCTTCAGTGTAACATTAGAATACTCTTTTGCCTGACTCACAGATACCCTCTTGCTGTTATTTTATAGCTTTAGAATGCTCTTGTCATGCCATGCCAAACATATATATGTATTTCAATTACATATTTGAATTTTTTTTTAACCTTTTTTTGGCACCTCAGCATACCACATTTTGAAATGAAATCAAGTTTAAATTAAATTATTAATATATACAGGCTTTTATTAATTAATTAAATTTTAATTTTAAGGAATAAGTCTGATTGATTTTACATACTCATTATTTACTTAGCCCAACTGTAAAATTGAGCTCTTATCGCAATTTTTATCAGCTCAAGTGCGCCGTAACACGCATAACCACTTTACTGTACGACCCCCAGCCCCACATACAACATCATTAACAATTTTATTCATTTGGTGCTGTCTTTTGCAGGGCTGCCGCGCCATGGTGCCCAAGACGGAGGACGCTGAGGTGCTGGAATCTATGCGCGCGTATCAGTGGGGCCACCTGGCCATAACATACACCAGTATTGCAGTGCTGGTGACGCTGGGCGATGATTTGTCGCGCCTGAATCGGCAGAGCATTGTGCGGGGCGTGGCGGCAGTCCAGCATGAGGATGGCAGCTTTAGTGCCTCCATTGACGGCAGCGAGAATGATATGCGCTTCGTCTATTGTGCCGCTACTATTTGCCACATGCTCGACTGCTGGGAGGGCGTGAACAAGGATGCCATGTTTGAGTTTATAATGCGCAGCCTGCGCTACGATTACGGTTTCAGTCAGGGGTTGGAGGGCGAGGCGCACGGCGGCACCACGTTCTGTGCGCTGGCCGCACTCGAGCTGAGCGAGCAGCTTCATCGGCTGGACGAGGTGACGGTGGAACGCATAAAGCGATGGCTTGTTTTCCGGCAAATGGATGGCTTCCAGGGGCGCCCGAACAAGCCAGTGGACACCTGCTATTCCTTCTGGATTGGCGCCGCTCTCTGCATTTTAAATAGCTTCGAACTGACCGACTACGCTCAGAATCGCGAATACATTATGAGCACAGAGAACAATCTGATTGGGGGCTTTGCCAAGTGGCCGAAATCCACGCCAGATCCCTTCCACACGTACCTGGGCCTGTGCGGCCTCGCTTTCATCGGTGAGCCAGGCCTGAACGCTGTGATGCCCAGTCTGAACATCTCCATGGCCGCCTATAAGCACCTCAATCAATTGCACGAACGTTGGAAAACCAACAACAACGGACTTACCCACGAACTAACCCAGCTTAAGCTGACCGTGGGCAGCAGCGCAGAAGCGGGAACAAAGACTACCTCGAGCTCGTCTCTAATATCAGCACAATGATGGGAACGTTCCTGGGAAATATTAATGCACACAATTTGTATTTGTACGCTTATTGGTGGCAATTTTTTTGCAAAAACATTTTATACTACGATTTGTATGTAAGTAAAAAGTTGGAAACTTCTGTTTAATATACTGAGCCTAATTTTAAGCACTAACCAGAGAACACATAGACTAGACATCTAGAACAAATTTTTTCACCGACGAAAAAATGCGCTGAGGAGACTACACAGCTTCGTATTTGCTCGGCTCAGTCTCTTGAGGCTCAAGCAGTGAAAATATTGCACGACAAAATCAGTTTGCTGCAAGCGCTCAAACGAAATGGTACCATTCTTATATGAAGCACGGCTATGCGCTATTTGTCCTACTCTCTCTCTCTCTCTCTCTCTCCATGGCCTCTCAAATAGCAGCAGCGCACAGAAATTGAAAATTGTTCGCGACGATCCCAGCTCTTTCCTTTTGAGTGAAGGGTATACCGAAATTATAAAAGCGTTTGTCACGCTCATGCAAGCAACATGTAAGCGTTTCGATGGTTATTCGTGGGAAGGGTATGAAAGNCGAACAATTTTCAATTTCTGTGCGCTGCTGCTATTTGAGAGGCCATGGAGAGAGAGAGAGAGAGAGAGAGTAGGACAAATAGCGCATAGCCGTGCTTCATATAAGAATGGTACCATTTCGTTTGAGCGCTTGCAGCAAACTGATTTTGTCGTGCAATATTTTCACTGCTTGAGCCTCAAGARAMTGAGCCGAGYAAATACGAAGYTGTGTAGTCTCCTYRGCGCATTTTTTCGTCGGTGAAAAAATTTGTTCTAGATGTCTAGTCTATGTGTTCTCTGGTTAGTGTTTTAAGTTAGGCAAATTGGCTGCAAAACAATAACAGAGGCAGAAAATCTAGTACTATTGACAATTAACAGAGTTATGTTATCGCTCTGTTTGTCATTTGTACGGACTGCTATTAAAAGCACATCCGCTACAATTAGCAGAATTTGAATATTTTAATACATTAGAGTTTTAATTAAAATTACAGCAGAAGTTGAAGAGTGTCCAGATATTTGTTAAGCTTAAATTAATGTTAAGAACTGTAAACTTAAGCTAAACAATTGCATTAAACTACTTAATGGCGTCCGTATTTACAAAGATGTTGACAGCATGCCTCCCGTTTGTCATTAGCCTCGTTAGCCTCTAGATTAGTTGGATTAATATTTAGTAGGTAATCTCAGACCTGCAGGTACAGGCGATGCTGTATGGCGGGCAGATTGTAGCCCATGATCGGCCGATCAATGTGCAGACGTCCGCGCAGTGGAGCCAGAACACGTTCCGTTACCAAAGGACAACGCTGCACCATTAGGGACTGCAGGTGTGGGCAGCTCTTGGTCAGTGCACTAGAGAGAGAAAAAGAGTGAGCAGGAGAGAAAGAGAGAGAGAGAAAGAGAGTGTGTGTTGTGGAACTAGTAAACAAGGAAGTCACTGGGATAGAAATCGTTTAAGTTGTAAGCATTGAGCGCGTCCTGGCGTGGACGTGGTCGATCAATGTGCACCCGATGACGCAGTGGCGCCAACGAGCGCTCCGTAATCCGATGGCAGCGTTGGATACGAAGCGATTGCAAGCTCTTGCACTTTACGCTGAGCGCACTGAAAAAATAGATGCAGATGTGTGTGCATTTGCAGTCGCAGCCGAGTGGACGACACACAGAAAACACACACACACACACACAGACATCCAATTACACGCACACAGGACTGAGTGATAATTGACTTTTTTTAAAAAAATGTTAGTTTAACAGCGTTACGTGACGCACGTCGATCTTTTTTTTTAAAAAAAGCAACGTTGCGACTTTTGTTATCTGTCTTGTTATATGGTTTTTTTAAAAAAATACAACGGGTTTATTAATATTGTTTTGTTCTAAGTCGGTTTTTTTAAAAAAATTGCTCTCATGTTTGATCGTGTTAATATACTTTATACTTTAATTTAAAAAAATTATTTAAATGAGAATCTGTAGGCTAGATAAACTGCTCTTGCTACAGTGAGTTTTTTAACAGTGACACATATCCAAAAACACACACACACACATGCATGCATGATGCAAGCTGTGTGGACAATTCAAGAAGCAAGGTATCGATACTTACTGAACTCCGTAGTCGGAAATGGCAGCACATCCAATCAGATTAATGTGCTCCAGCTCACGGCAGTAGTTGCCGATTTGTATGAGCACTTGATCCGTGACGCTGGGCGTGTTGGCCAACGATAAGATAGTCAGCTTGTTTAGCTTGCGAAAGAAGATGATGAGGCAGCGTTCGCCAATGGCGCCACAATGTGATATATCGAATTCGACCAGTTTGCTCTGGTGCAGGGTGAGCGCGTCCACAGCCCCCGTGGTCAGCCACTGGCACTTGGAGAGCTTCAGGATGCGCAACTCCTTGCACTGTACGATAATGGGCTGCAGCGATAGCGCCGTTATGTTGGTGCACTCGTTGAGATTGACGGCACTGAGGCGTTGTTTGTTATTTTTGAGCAGCGGCAGGAGAAGCTCATCCGTCAGCCATTTGCAGCTGGCCAAGTGTAGATGCTCAAGGCGACGACAGCAGCGGGACAGGACCTTGAACCCGAGCTCTATATTTCGGGAATTATTGCCAGACAAGTGGAGCTCCGGGCGTATCTCCAGGGCGGCCTCTGCCAAGCGTAATGCTGTGCGCGAGCAACTGCGTAAATTAAAGAGGTCCTTGATCGAAAGGTAGGTAGTTATCTTTGGAATTAGCACATCATCCCAGTTAATGTCGAACAATGTCAACTCGCCGTAATGTATCCTTCGCATTGGCATTGGACTGGGTGTTCGCGTGCGAGATTTGCTGCTCATGGCAGCTAAATGTGTTTCCTCCTCTATATGTAGCGTGCACATTTCTCTCTGTGTTCGATTACGTGACTGAACTTGTCCTGGTAGCCTAAATAACAATTCTACGCACTAAGCACCAAAATCAATGAATATTGTTTACATGCGAACAGCTGATCAGCCAAGCGATACAAATGTTATTTCAGTGTGAAGGTCACGCACAAGCAACGAAGAAAACCTTGAATGTTAAATTTGATTTTCTGACGTCACTCAAAGTATCGATAAATGCTGTTTGCGATTATTCTGCAAGTTTAACGGATCTAGTCGAATTCAATATGCGAATTTTACGTTAACTCAAATTTTTAATAATTTTGAGTAATAAGTTTATTTGGTCTGAAATTTTTACAAAATAAAATGATTCAATTGCTACATTGCGTATACGCAATATGAGCTTCAATGTCGACAATATGATTGATTTTAAGCTTAAGCGATGCCCAAAAGATTTATAAAATAAAATAATTTATAAATAATAACAATAATTTTGGGGTAACTATAGTGAAGCTCAGAAATCAAATATTGAATAATGGACCTATTAAGAAAAAATACGTCCATTAAGTTGCAGTGTCGGTGGCGTATACGCAATATGCTCAAACCTTTTTGCCAGCTGCAGCTTTACCTTAATTAGGCCCATAACTGAGCTTTCTATCTGCATTGTTAATGATAAATAGTCCGTTTAATTTTAGTTTATGCCTTTAAGTCTCACAGGTGGTCAGGTAAAAAATAAGTTTTGCCAGCAATAAAAGTCGGTAACAGCAAAGTTTAAGTGAATTCTCAAAACAATATCGAAGTGGCTAGCACAGTTTGTAAGCGACAAGCGGGCATTAAGCAACATGAACGAATCACCGGCATATTCCATACAAAATCGTCGCAAATTCATTGACTTATACTCGGAGGTGCAGGCGTGGCTAAATGAGGCCAATCTGAGCTCAATGGAATCCAGATATCGTCGCGAGATGCTGCAGCTTCGCCTGCTGATGCTGGATAAGATTGACGAGGAGTATTACATTAGGCGCTACATCAAGCTGCGCACTCGTTAAACAAAATTAAGCAAATTAAGCAATTGTATTATAATAGTTATATTATTATTCGATCAGCATTTGAAGCCGATCAACTTTTTAATGGTTTGCATAATGAATGTGATTCGTATCGTTTGTTAATTTTTATCATCATATAATTATAATAGTGTAATAAACATAATACATAATAGTGATAGTGAATTCTGTTTGATTCGTCGTCAAACCGTGTTCCTCGTTCAACGCTCAATATAGAGTTATACATAATATAGAATATTTATATGGTATATGGTATATAAATAGCATTAAAACATTTTCCATTCTTCTTTTGCTTATTTAAAAACTTAGTTTTTGGCGCTTTTGCAAACTTTTGCCCGATATTTTCTTAGAGATTACATACACACTTCATCGAATAACAAATAAATGATTAAAATGTAAACAAACAATCAAATTTAGGTCTCTTTTTGGCAATACATTAATTCTGATGCCGTGATTAAAAGAAAACAACTCAAAATAAAATGAAATATTCCAGTTGAAACTAATTTTCGATGGACCTTTATATATTAGAACGAAATTTGGAAACAAAGACTTGTTGGCAATTGTTAAAGCAAAATCAATTGAAAGAAACTGCTGCTGCTGCTGCCGCTGGCTAACAGATTGAACGGTTTTACCGCTGCTGCTGATAGATAGGAATGTTGTTCTTGACGGCATCGTTTTGCATATGATATGCGGGCGCAGCACCCGATGCGACTGGCGGCATGCCGCCAAGATGCGCCATCGACATGGCGGCCATCTGCTGATGTAGCTGACTAAAATGATCGTTGTGATTGTGTGGTTGTTGCTGTTGCTGCTGCTGCTGGGGTTGTGGTGGTTGCTGTTGCTGTTGTTGTTGCTGTTGCTGCTGCGGTGGCGCCATGTAGCTCTGTGTGACTGGTGGAGCTCCGTTTGGTGCATAAAACTGTGGCGGCTGAGCTGAATATGTCTGCGGCGGTAAAGCCTGATGCTGTTGCTGCTGCTGCTGCTGTTGGTGCTGCGGCGACATATAACCATGCGGCGGTGGCTGTTGGTGTTGAATTTGTGTAGCTGTTGGTGGTGCGCCGGCGAATTGCTGTGGCAACGTGGAAGGCGGCATCTGTTGCGGCTGCTGCTGCTGCTGCTGCTCAACGGGCAAGGGCATGGGATAATTTGTAATCGGCTGGGGTTGCTGCTGCTGAGTAGTGACTGGCGTAGGCTGTGCATTGTAGACAGGCTGAGGGTGGGGCTGAGGATGAGACTGCGGTGGAACTGCTGGAGACTGGGATAAATGAGGTGGCAGCACTGCAAGCAAATTGAATACTATTAACAAATAATCAAACGATAAGAAAAAGAAATAATTTACTGTTCATCTGCGGGGCATGTCCGTTTTGGTATGGCATGGGTACTTGTCCAGGATAAGCTGCAGCTGGTGCGGCCGTTGTGGCTGTGGCTGTTGCTGCATTGCTGCCTGGTGGTGGCGCATACGGCAGCGAGTGCATGCCCGGATAGCTTTGGCCTGGCGGAAAGCCCGCTGCGCTGGGATAACCAGGTGCGCCATACAGTGCAGCGCCTGGGAAGCCGGCGGGCATGAAGCCAGCACCACCAAACTGAGCTGCAGCTGCACGATCATCACGCATGAGCGAATGGTACAGATTGATGGCATCCACCAGATCACTGGACAGCTGTGTCAGCTGGGCATGCTTGCGATCGACTCTCTCCAGTTCGGCATCGATCAGGGGGCCCATTTGGTGAACTTGCTGCTCCAAACGCAGCATTTCGTCGCTGTCTTGTGAGGGATCCTCGGGATTGGCCTCGTGCAACAAGTGCAGCAAGCGGTCTATTTTGGCCTCATCAATTTCAACGGGCTGTGCGGCAGCCGCTTCAGTCTTTTGTTGCAACAGCGCCTCCTCCTCGGCTGCTGCCTGTTTCTGGGCATTGTTTTTGTGTTGTTGATTGATATCCAAGCGTTCGGGATCTACAGACAAATCGGCAGTGACAAAATTCGAGGGGAACAGACCCTCTCCACGGTCATTGTAGCCCTTCCACCAATTGGCATCGCTGTCGTCCAACACGTGTATGATTTCGCCCGAGAAGAAGGTCAGCTCATTCTCCTCCGCTGCCTCGAAGTCGTACAATGCGCGTACAGTGCGCGATGCAGCAGCAGCAGMAGCATTGCCACTGCTGGCATTTCCATTTCCGTTGCTTTGCGTGCTCGCTGTGCTGCCGCCAAATGAGGGATACAGCGAGGGATAGGCACTGCTGGTCGTTGAAGCAGTTGATGCGCCACCTGCCTGCTGCTGTTTGGGACTGCTCTTGGTTTCCTTGAGCGACAGCTCTATAGCTTTGGCTATATCATCCTCCTCCTGCTGGCTGCTGACCACGTTCGGATCTTTGGCCAGCGTTGCAGCTGCCGCCTTGGCTGCTGCTGACTTGTCGCTGCTCTTGTCGTTCAAATTTCTGAAGTCGTGGCCATCAAGGCGCAGCTTCAGATACAGCGTGGGAATTAGATTTAGTTCCGGATCATTTTTGAAATAAGTTTCAACCCAATTCTTAAACACCTGGCGCATTTTCTGTAAAGCAAATAGGTATATATTTATAAAAGTTTTTTATATATATTTATATTTTTTTTACCAAGGCAACTTTCGGCTGCGCTTTGTCCAACAAGCGTCTGAACTCCGTTTCAAAGTCGCGCGACGCCATCTCCAGATGGAACGGCTTGCCGCAGTTGTTGGCGCACGCATCCAGCAGTGTGATGGCCTGCATGACGACATGAGGATCAGGATGGCCCATCCGTCGCATCACCGCCTTCAGGCAGTCTTTGGCTAAGCGCGGATTGGTCGTCACCTTATCGCACACATCCATTATTAAAGACCAATTATCATTCGTATTCGTTTCGCTGGTGGCCTTTTCTGTGGATGAGCGGAAAACAACAATCGAGGGTTTATAAAAAGTCTATGGATTAACTGCGTTATCTCTTATAATGTGTGAAAAAAGCAAGTCAGAACAACAACATTTTGTTCAAAACACAGTACCGTTTACTTATCGTTGACTGACTCACAGTGCGCGCCTATGAAAGGCGATAAGCGAGGCAGAGAATCAAAGCAAAATCAATACAATATTCAGCAAATTGCATTAAAGAGAGGCCAGACAAGAAAACCAAAGCAGCGAAAAGTATAGGGTATGGTATATTTATATATGTATATAACACCACGGATTGTAGAATATTTAAATGGCAAACCATATATTTGAACCTTACTTGTTTGACATAATGAATATTTGTATGCAGTATATTTATAATATATATAAATGTGATTTTCTTAAAAACATGTCTTATATACTTATACTTAAAACCGGATCTGCAGCAATCGAAAAACTTTTTAAGGTCAATTTGCCATTTCACACTAATTAACTTTTGTCGAATTTATCGTAATATATAATATAAATAAATAATGATATATGTATATATTTTAAAGATTTCAAAAAATTTTTTAATTTATAAATGATATTTTTTTCGTTTTTCAGTTCATGGCTTAATTACAATCTGTGATAATCGAGTGACAATAATTATTAATTAACCGGAGCTTCAGTGAACTCAACTATATATTTACATACTTTACTATATATATATTTCACTAGTCCAGGAAGAGAAATCTTTTATTGGTGTTATTTAGAAGTCCTAGCACTACATCTTTGCCTATTTATGTATATATCTGTCTGAACTTATTTTTTTTTTATATTTTTCAAGCATTTGTGAATGTTTAAATTGCTCAAATACCATGTAATGGACTGGTATAGATTTAGCATATATTTATAATAAATTTCGAAGCATTTACAAATTTTAATATTAATTTAAAAACTTTTAGCTTTGTAGTCTGAATCCTGCAGGAAGGGGTATCTCACAAAGCACATGGAAGGCATGAGTGTGATGTGGGTGGTTGCTGGCGCCGACTTCAAGGTCAGCGACTGCAAACAAAACTTAAAAGAAGTTCAATGAACAGACGGAGCAGCAAAAGCTGCGCAGCTTCTGGACAAAGCGACGCATGTGACTCGGAATTGACTTAAGATGTTCTTTGTTTGTGTGCCGAGTGGATTTGGGGGGGTGGTAATATGGCAAATTAGATAAGGGAAAATACAGCAGGCAGCAACGCACATTAATTGCAAGCGAATCAATGTTTTCATTAAGGGCGATTGTTATTGCTGTGGTTGGAGAAAGTGAGAAATTAACAGAAAACTTACCCACATCGGCGTCGAACGACGACGATTGCCCAAATATGCCCATTTCTTAGACCAAACGACCAAACTCAGCTGCTTGTTAATTATTTGTGTGATTGTTGTATTCTGTTTAATTACGTCGTCAATTGTCCGCTGCTGCTGCTCGTTGTTATTGTAGCTGCACTTGCACTCTTGTGTGGTGTTGTCGCCTTGTACGCAATCGATTTTCGTGCGTCACAATAACACACATAGAATCGTGTATTGTTTTGTAGTTTTCCCGAATGGGCAGCTGCCAACGCACTCTTATTCTTTAATTTGATTAGAAACTTTTGTAATTTGCCTTAATTAAATCAAAATACTTCAATAAATTTGCTGAATAATCACTTGCACCGTTTTTCTTTTGCTTTTGTGTAAAAAATGACTAATGAAAATATCGATGTGTAGTGGCAGTCAAATGTCTTTCGATATCGTTTATTAACTATCGGTATTTCGATATCAGAACGTCATTCCTGTCACACAATTATCATCTAATTTTCAGACATAATCAATTGTATTCATAAATAAATACAAAAAATAATGTTGACTTGTAACTAAACTTCCAAAAATCTACACTTAAATGAAGTGTGATATGAACAAAGCAAAGCCTATCATCAAATCAACAAAATGTATCGTGTGTGGGCACCGATAACATCTGACTGGCAGACAATTGTATGGTGTATGAGCGCTACGGGGATTAGGGTGAAAAATTTGGAATCGAAAAATAGCAACAAATAAATAAATGAAACTTTTAAAGAGATTTAAATCGGATACTTAGTAACGTTTATCATTACATAGCCAAGACACGTGAAAATTATTGAGTGAAAAGTGCTTAGAGTTGCTGCCAGCAGCTGAGCTGCAGTGTAGCAACAAAAGTATTACTCGGCTCGTTAAATGGAAAGAGGCAAGGGCTGAGGTAGCTTCGATTTGTAATTCAATTACGGACTCACACACAAACAGACAAAAAAGGCCGATATTGGATATGGTTTTCATACGTGATCCCTGTGGCATTGTCTGCCTGATTTTTACCTATGGAGCGGTTATCTACGCAGACTATGTGGTTATGCGCTGGATAATACTGGCAACAATGCCGCTAAGGTATTTTTCCATTCACTCTATACTATCTATCTATCTATACTATATATATATATTCCTTCACTTTTAGTATTTGGGCACCCTTCCATGTTGTGCTCTTCAATACGGTTGTCTTCCTGCTAGGCATGTCGCATTTGAAAGCAGTTTTCTCAGATCCAGGCATTGTACCGCTGCCCGCCAATCGCTTGGACTTCTCCGATTTGCACACCACCAACAACAGCACCAAACAGATATCTGGCAATGGTCATGGTAGCGAATGGACAGTGTGCACACGCTGCGAGACTTATAGGCCACCACGAGCCCATCATTGTCGCATATGCAAGCGATGCATACGCCGTATGGATCATCATTGTCCATGGATTAATAACTGCGTGGGCGAACGCAATCAAAAGTACTTTCTGCAATTTCTCGTATATGTGGGTATTCTCTCCCTCTACTCCGTAGCGCTAATACTCGGCTCTTGGGTATCGCCGTGTACGGAATGCAGCCAAAATGTAATTGATACACAGCTGCGCATGTAAGTATGTCTCGAAACCAAATGTTTGAAAATATTAAAAAATGCCTTGTTTACTCAGGATTCATTCCATCGTTTTGCTGTTGGAGTCGGCGCTGTTTGGACTGTTTGTGACTGCCATCATGGTAGATCAGCTGCACGCCATATTGTACGACGAGACGGCTGTCGAGGCGATACAGCAGAAGGGTGCATATCGACCTAATCGACGTAAATATCAACTGTTGGCCGATGTGTTTGGACGTGGACATCCGATGCTGTGGCTTCTGCCTTGCGCTAGTCTAAATCACGCCGCACGGTATCACGACACACCGCTGCTCAGCCACGATGTTTAGAAGCCGTGTGATAAATTCTATTATTTTGTATGTATTATGTTTCTGTTCTATATGCGTGTGTGTGCGTGAGAGTCCCACAAAATCCATTGTTTTATGTTTTACGTATCTTTTTTTTTGTGTTTATATTTTTTTTATCAAGAAAGCTATACCACCCACCCGGTTTTTTTTGTTACTCTTACCTTGACCCAAAGCTATGTATATGTATGTATATTTTTTTTTTGTTTATTTGTATATACTTTATACAAACAAGATTCCAATGTTTAATTTTTTTTTTAGTTAATAATCGAGCCAAAACATACTCAACAGAAACTCAATATTTTTTTTAACAAAACTAGTTTTCCCATAGCATACGTAGCGATCAGATGTTTAGCTATATATAAATATATAAATGTGTGTAAAAAAAAGCAAGTAAGCAAATCAAAAATAAGTACGACCTTCAAGCATTTAAGAGAGCAAGAAATTCATATACCAAATAAACATTAACATTAAATACCAGGCAATTGTGTGTGCGGTAATAGCTCGTATTATTTATAAGACCTAAACTAATTAGTTTGATTGTAAAAAAAAAGCAGAGGAAGGAAAACTAATTGACTGTAATTTTGGTTTATTTGCTTAAATTTATATTTATTATTGTTTAATTTGAACGTATTGCTTTAATGGCAATTCAATCTTTGCTGGAATGACACTTGCAATTTTCTAACTGCAGCAATAAAACGTGAACACTAACTAGTCTGTACTAAAATGTATATTCTTTTACACATGTATTAGCAAATTAATTATACTGTTTATACGTTTTTATAAATTCCATATGAAAGTCGCGTTACAAGTTATCAAGTTTTCCACTTTTATATTGTAAACTTTGAATTGCCCCAAAATGAAATGGCATGCGTCATTCCAGCATAATCAAGTGAAACTGATCTAATGAACGCCTTAATATGCAATTATGTGTAACACAGAATCCAATTTGAGAATTAAGCGAATTGTTTCTATTGAACAGGCAAATCTCTCGATGGTCTCAAGAAGCCACAAAAACCAATACATATGCGTATCTTCAACTATATGTGTATAGTTTTCAATAAATCTAATGATAAACATATGAATAAGTACAAACCGATTTGTTTCCGTCCTAATTAGTCCGACTCACTGCGTTGGGAGGAGGATTCTCGAGGATGTCCTTCTATGAATATGCTCTTCGTGTTGCAGGATCCTCATAGACTCCTGCAGCAGCTCAATGGAAATGCAGCTCATAGAGATTTCAAGTCCACGCTTATCATTTTCATCTGACATGATAATTGTAGCGCCTACGGAAAGATTAAAACTACTTCGGAGTAGCTACGTTGGTATTACTTGGCTCGGTCAGGGCTAAAGCAGCTTCGATTTGTAATTCAATTTCGGGCATACACTGACAGACACAAAAATATTGGATATGGTTTTCATACTTGATCCCTCTGGTATTATCTGCCTAATTGCTACCTATGGCGCCCTTATCTACGCAGATTATGTGGTCATTCAATGGATAATAATAACAGCAATGCCACTGAGGTATTTTCCTCTTCATTCTGCCGCATCTATCTATACCAATATATATTGTCCTTGTAGTATCTGGGCGCCCTTCCATGTTGTGCTCTTCCATGCGATCGTGCTCCTGGTATTCTTATCCCATTCGAAAGCAGTCTTCACAGATCCGGGCATTGTACCGTTGCCATCCAATCGCCCTTTCTCCGAGATACCATCTGGCGAGGTCCATGGCAGCGAATGGACTGTGTGCTCACGTTGCAAGACTCATAGGCCACCACGCGCCCATCATTGTTCCACGTGCCAGCGCTGCATACGACGCATGGATCATCATTGTCCATGGATAAATAATTGTGTGGGCGAAGGCAATCAAAAGTACTTTCTGCAATTTCTCTTCTACGTGGCTGTGCTCTCCTTCTACTCCGTAGCGCTAGTACTCGGCTCCTGGGTGTCGCCGTGTACGGAATGCAATCAGATTGTAAAACAGACACAATGGTAAACCCAAAGCTAAGCAATGTATGTGCATAATAATCCCTCGTTTACTTAGGATGCATACCCTAATATTAATGCTTGAATCGGCGTTCTTTGGACTGTTTGTGAGCTTTATTTTGATGGATCAACTACACGCCATATTGTACGATGAGACGGCGGTGGAGGCGATACAGCACAGGGGTTCATATCGGCCAAATCTACCTAAATATCAGCTGTTGTCCGAAGTGTTTGGCCCCGGGCATCCGATATCGTGGCTACTGCCCTGCGCTAAGCTAAAGCATTCAGAACGCCATAAGCCATGTGTAGAAGACGTTTGACAAATTCTATTGTTTTGTATGTATGGCATACGTGAGTCTGTGTGTGTTTGCCTGTCCCACAATATTCATTGTCATTAGCGTTTTATGCATATATATTTTGGAAATAAATTAACCCAGCCGTCCAGGCATCGCTCTAACTTGTACCTTGACCCAAAGCTGGAATGATTTCATTGACATCCCCGCACTCAAGCAGATCAACGAAGCGGTAACAGTCTTAACTCAGTTGGGCTGAGGCAGCTTCGATTTGAAAATCAAAAACGAACTCTCAAACATACACAAACACAGACGACCTATATTGGATATGGTTTTCATACGTGATCCCTGTGGCATTATCTGCCTGATTGCTACCTATGGCGCCGTTATCTATGCAGATTACGTGGTAATTTGCTGGATAATACCGGCAACAATGCCACTAAGGTATTTTCCCATTCATTCTGATTTATCCATTGAACCTTCATATATTTTTCGTTCACTTCTAGTATTGGAGTCTTACAGGTTGTGCTCTTCAATGCGGTTGTCTTCCTGCTAGCCATGTCGCATTCGAAAGCAGCTTTCTCAGATCCGGGCTTTGTATTGCTGCCCGCCAAGCGGCTTGACTTCTCCGATTTACACTCTAGCAATGGCCGTGCTACTGAATGGACTTTGTGCACGCTCTGCGAGATTTATAGGCCACCACAGGCTCATCATTGTACGGTATGCCAGCGATGCATACGCCGCATGGATCATCATTGTCCGTGCATTAACAATTGTGTGGGCGAGTGCAATCAGAAGTACTTTCTACAGTTTCTGTTCTATGGGGGCATTCTCTGTCTCTACTCCGTGGCGCTGGTACTCGTCTCTTGGATATTTCCGTGTACGGAATGCAGTCAGAGTTTAATTGAGACCCAATTGTAAATCCAGACCTTAACTACTTCTGTAGATAATAATGCCTTGCTTACTTAGGATGCATACCATAGTTTTGATGATGGAATCGACGCTGTTTGGTCTGTTTGTGACCCTCGTTATGCTGGATCAGCTGAGCGTCATATTGTACGATGAGACGGTGTTCGAGGCGAGAGAGCAAAAGGGTGCATATTGGTCAAAAAATCGTAGATATCAAATGTTGGCGAAAGTATTTGGCCCAGGGCATCCGATGCTTTGGCTTCTGCCCCGCGCTAGCCTAAATGACGCCACAAGCTATCACGACGCGGCGCTGCTCAGCCACGAAGTGTAGAAGCTGCGTCCTATAAATCCTTTATCCTATATGCTTCCTTCTGATGGTCCCAATGGGCCGCCAAAATCAATACATGTGCGTATCTTCGACTATATGTGTATAGTTTTCAAAAAGTCTAATAATAAACATATGAATAAATACAAATTGCTTTGTTTCCACTCTAGTCCAGTTCGCTGCCCAGGCCCTCGACGCTGATTGTGAGCTGTTGGAGCGCCTGTCTGGCTACACTGCAGAGGATGCCCTCCTGGGAGTTTTGATCCTCGTGCTGGAGGATCTCCACACACTCCTTGAGCAGATCAATGGCATCCACGAGCTGCCCACGCAACTCACCGCCACTCAGTTTATTGGCTATGAAGCCGCTTTTGGCCAGCAGCACTAGCGGCACATGCAGCTCATAGAGATTCATTGCCCGTGCACGACTCAGGCCCGGCTCAAAGATGTTCAGCACACGCAACACATCACGGCAGAGAATCGCCTTGCGTTCCAGCAGCTGGTCTGTGAGCTGGACCATCTCGTAGCCCTGCACACGGCCGTACATCTCGATGAGCAGCTGGCGCAAACTGGTGGCGATGTAGTGCGATGGATGCAACAGGGATTTGTATTTGCGCAGCAAACGTTCCGCTTCCTCCAGACGCTTGGGACCCATGTCGAGAGCCTGCACAGCATTCACCTCGGCCTGCAGTGCGTCCACAATTTGCCGCACATCCTCAGCGCTTGTGCTGTAATCGCACGACCGGCAGCTCCAACTGCTGTCCACGACTGCAAAGAGAGAAGGGGCGCTGCTTAGTCACAGTACATATCGGAAGTGTGTGAAAAGCAAATGGACTACCCGTTGGCTGCTTGGGCAGCAGCCAGCCCTCGGTGCACTGGCCACACTTCAGGCTGGAGAAATGTGTCTGCAGTTCGCTGGCATCCAGGCAACGTTCGCAGCTGCACACAAAGTATTTGCCCTCGCGCAGATGCGCCTGTCGCTGTGCTGTGCCGTCCAAGGTGTAGGTGTAGCTGTGCTGCAGCTGCTGGCCCTCTTCCAGGGCGACCATGGCACGCAAGCGAATCCTACAGGAAATGGAATGGAAGTTAAAAGCTGTTGACTACCGCGAGCTCCACTCACTTGTAGCCCTCGCTGGGATGAATGGTACGCGCTGTGTTCGGCACACAATTATGGGCCAATATGCCCGTGTAGGGGAACAGGCAGCGCAAGGGGTAGCCCTGGCTAGTGCGTGCCTCGAATGCATTCACCTCCAGCACGCCCACTACCTGCATGATGAGCTCCTCGCTGAAGCGGTCCGCCAGCTTGCACGGACCGCGCAAATATTGGGCAATATTCACACGGTCCGCATGCCAGACGTCCGCATTCTCGCGTCGCTCCAGCTCATGATGCTCCATGGGCGCCACTTCATTTAGCCAACGCTCCGGCTGTGCCTCCTTAGCCAGCAGTACTCTACGACGGATATACGTAAAAGAAAAGGAATTTAATAAAAAAAAAAAAAAAATGTTGGCACTAGTCAAATGATAAATCAACTAAGATTAGCTATAAATAAATTAGCAAACCTAATCCATTAAATATATATTATTATTATAAAGAACAATAGAGCACACGAACAATTCTTTAACGGCACATGATCAGCTAACAGCTACTTAATAGCTCTAGCCAACAGAATCAAATTACATTTTCCTTCAATGAGCCCGCCCGAGTATTCTATGGCTGATAGTTTCCGATCTACCACAAGTGCAGAACTTTTGCTGTAACACATAAATAAATCTAGATTTATGTGTGTCAAAAGTTGGCACTGCTTTTAGCATCTATTTTTGTGCACCTCAGTGGCATGATGCAGTCCAGCTGTGGCCAATATTTGCTGCCGGCTGGCATCTCATAGAAACGCGCCCTTGCCGCCCTCAGCACGGAGCACTCCAGTTGCAGATGCTGATTCTCCTCCTCTTCCTCTCCGTCGCTGCAAGGGCCGCATAGGGGCCAGCCGCAAAGGGCACAACGTTCGTGGACTTCAGGTCTGTAGCAATTGAGGCACAGCACATATCCATTACATTTGGGACCCAGGGCAAAGGGCTGCTCCTCGATCAGCAGTTCGCCGCGCTTAACCGGCTCACTGGCCGTAAGATAGCGTCCGTAGATGGGACTCCATTCCACCGCCGTGCGATTGACATCGAGTGCTGGCGTCGCTGTCATAGCGGCTACTGACATGGACCGCACTATGATGAGGTGAGCATAGCATCTTTTTAGTAAATATTTGTATAATTTGGCACAGTCTCAAAGATGAACGGCCCCCGAGCAGCGAGCATTACCCTGCCAGCTGCTGATGCTGTCGGTTGTCGTTGTCGTTCTATTGTGACGTTTGCAACTGTCAAGATTTCTGTTTGGTTTTGAACGGCAGCGACTTGTGGCCCCCGCAGCCAACACCCCTTTGGCATCCACAAACTAACCTCAATGGTGTTATGCAATCCAATTGTGGACAGACGCCATCCTCGCTGACGTTGCCGGCGAATGTGACACGTGCCGCGGCAAAGACCTCGCACTCGCCACGATGATCAGCGGCATCATCCACACAGTTGCTGCATATTGGCCAGTCGCAGAGCTCGCAGCGATCCAGCGAATCGCCGTCTTCGCCAAACTGCAAATACCTGTAGCAGCCCAGGCAAACAATTCCACTGTCACGCTTGGGCCCGTAGGCAAAGGGCAGTTCCTCCACAACAACTTCGCCACTTTCCACTCGCTCCGATGTGGCCAGGCAGCAGCCGTAGACTGAGTCGTGTTCCAGGCGCGCTTTCAGCATGACGTTTTCTCAGCCGCTCCCGCTCCCAAATGCAAGATATATACGAAATTTATTTCAACATACAGAGAACGAGAGCTCTTAGTCTTTCAGAGAGCCTGCACTGTGGCTAAAAATAATATAAATAGTGAGAAGTCTGCTCACTGTATTGGAGGGGCAGATGCATTTCTATCTTTCTTTTGATAAATTATAATTCGTATATTGGAACATTATTAAAGCTGCATTCATAATTTAACATATTGTATAGCTCGAGAAGGTTTTATTTTTTAGCTTTCAATGGTAAAACGATCACTGTTATGGCGCCAAAGATCACATTCAAAAAGTATCGATACTTTTCTAACAAGGCTGCCACTTCCCTCATACGCGTGGTATGCAAATCATATTAAATACTTTTTAAAAATATCTAAGTTTAGAGAAATAGGTGAAATTTAAAACATTTAAGATTACATATTATGTGCATGTAGAAAGAAATATTATTACAAACCCATAATCCACTAGTGGTTAGTGGCTCTGCAAATAGTTTGGTTTAGTATATTCGCGTACAAAGCACAATCGCGTTTTTCTACATTTCTCTTTGGTCACACTGCTATTCAGTTGCAAATCAATTTTGTGGTGTACGTTGTGTGGTCGTGCTCGTCTTGTTCCTGCGTTTCGCATTACTTTAAAAGCTAATTCAACTTATCAAAAGTAAGTAGAACTTAACCAAATCACTGTACAATTAGGCTCTTGTTTTTAACAGTGAAGCCATATACATGAAAATCCGTGAATGTATCTCGTTTTACGTTCTAAGTGATTTCATAACCTCGAAATTAACATTTTGCAAGTAGACACGCAGCCCTCATCCATATACAAACACACACACATACACGACACTCGGAAAGGGTTTCCCATCGTGTTTATGCTGTTGTGTTAACTATTCCTAATATCTTTTAATTGATACTGCTGTTGTGGCCATTCAAACGAATAAAGCAACCGGCACACACATACACAAAAACACGAATGGAAAAGAGTTTTACAGTTAGCTCGCAACGATGGCAGCTGCCGGCAACAGTGTTCTTTCCTGTTACGTAACAGACATATTGGCTGCACTGTGCTAAAATTTGTTTTGATAAAATAGGAATTAACCGTTTGGTCTCCTTCTAGCTGTATCACATGCATCTGTCTCAAGAGCTTTATCAATTTCAGCTTGTTAAACTTTTTCTATTTGCTTTATTATTGTTTTGTTTGCTTTTTTTGGCCGCTGGTCATGTGAGCATTAAGAGAAGCAATTTTTGTATTTATTTGATTGCGGATGGGGGTGTGTAAGTGACGTCATAAAAAAATCGATTATTCGCTTATTTTGTGGCACCTTTCAACTGGTGCAATTGGATATAAGATTAGTTTTGCTGGATAGTATTGCGTAATAGCTCACGCCCACAGCCCGCAGATGAATACGCAGTTATGGCACACATTGACAACTGACTTAAGCAAATAATACTTTACTTTTCTAACTACATACATACTAGTAATTTTCGAGTGCATGTACCTTGGTAATTTCAAATACTAATTATTGTGTCAAGGTCGTAGCGCAATTTCGATTAGGGCTCACGAACTATCTGACCTGCTTAGTCCATACATACCTGTATTTTATATATAAATGTATACTAAAATATTTAGATGTTCCATGCTGATGCCCTGTTACATCACAACATCCATACATATTTCTTTGGCGTAAAATTTGCTCATAGTTTTTGCTAGAAGAATTCTTGTCTTCTCTTAGCCGGGAAAGCGCATGATTTCACACACCGTCTACTTTGCCTATATTGTTGGTCATTTCCGCACCGTTTGGCCGCTGTCCAATCTAGCCAATAATATAAATCTTTCCCTGTTTGTCGGCCTTTCATATTTTGCCGCTGTTTTAGCACATGCACCATTATTACGGCCACCACTGTGAGTCGCTTGCGTTTGCATGGGGCGTCAGGTAGTGATGAGACCAAAGCAAAGATGTAACGTGTAGTTATYGGTATATACGTATATATAATGAACATACATATGTACATATGTGTATGTATGTCTGTCAAGTGGTCATTGAACGATTTGCTGTGAGTAATTAACAACAAAATGTAAACAGAGACATGAAATATGGTGCACAGTAGGCCGTATGGTAGGAAACTAATTTCCAAGTAATTAAAAAAGTTAAAATTTGTATAAAATTATATTATTAAAAATGGCTGATTATGGCAAGAATTATTGGACATACAATATTATAAAGGAGAATTTTAGACGAAAAGAGGTAGGCTGCTGGTTGCTAACGGCGCTTTGTATATGTATGTATATTAATTTGTGGATGTTGAAATTGTTTGCAATCTGTTTCAATCGACTATGGCGCACTGTGCGTCATCAATTGCACGATCGCTCGCAGCTGCTTCAAACGCTCTTGCTCTTACTCGTCCAATCACAGCAGACGTGCGTTGACCCCCCATTCACACAGACACATACACACGCACAAGTACTTAAACATAGCAAAGCGGAGAGCTGATAGTTTGCAGTTTCTTTGCCAAATTTGGGCACACTTAACATGTAGATGCACTTTTCATTGGCCGCAGTCCACCTTGAAATCGAATTTAATTGGACTTTCCTTTGATTTTGTGAAAGAAGAAATTGACATTTAGCCAGAGTACAAAAAAATTTGTTGTAAAGCTTTTTTTTCCCTTTGTGCGATTATTTTTAAATTCAGCAAGAATAAAGAAGGGGAGCAGGTTGGATTTACTTTTTTCCCTTCATTTCATTCGGAAATGGCAATAAAAATATATGCAAGCGATTTAAATAGGTATTAACTATGACAATATTTGCTTACATGAAATATTTACTGCAGATAAAGAGTGTTAGATAAGATAAAAGTTGCGAATCTAATCTTTACTTTCACGCAATCGTTGGCCCGACATATGAAATTTGTGATTTAATATACTCAATGCTCGGCAAATTGAACTGTATTTACTAATATTACTTCACACTCAATAGATGGCTCCTCCATCATACAGCGATTTGGGCAAACAGGCTCGCGACATCTTCAGCAAAGGCTACAACTTTGGCCTGTGGAAGCTGGACCTGAAGACCAAGACATCGTCGGGCATTGAATTCAACACAGCTGGTCACTCGAACCAGGAGTCGGGCAAGGTGTTTGGCTCCCTGGAAACCAAGTACAAGGTCAAGGATTATGGCCTTACTCTGACGGAGAAATGGAACACAGACAACACTCTGTTCACTGAGGTTGCTGTGCAGGATCAGCTGTTGGAGGGTCTTAAGCTGTCCCTCGAGGGCAACTTCGCACCACAGTCGGGCAACAAGAACGGCAAGTTCAAGGTTTCGTACGGTCATGAAAATGTCAAGGCCGATTCGGTTTTTTTCATTGACCTCAAGGGCCCCTTGATCAACGCATCTGCTGTGCTGGGCTACCAGGGCTGGTTGGCTGGCTATCAAACTGCCTTCGATACGCAACAATCCTTTTTTTCCACCAACAACTTTGCCCTCGGCTACTCCACCAAGGACTTTGTCCTGCACACAGCCGTGTAAGTACAAATTCTTTTTTTTTTTTTTTTCTGAATATTGTTTTTTATTTGGATTTATTACTTTGGTAAATAGGAATGACGGCCAGGAGTTCAGCGGTTCAATCTTCCAACGGACTTCCGATAAGTTGGATGTGGGTGTTCAGCTGTCGTGGGCCAGCGGCACCAGCAACACCAAGTTCTCGATTGGCGCCAAATATCAATTGGACGACGATGCCAGCGTGCGCGCCAAGGTGAATAATGCCAGCCAGGTGGGCTTGGGCTATCAACAGAAGTTGCGCGATGGCATCACCTTGACCCTGTCCACGCTTGTCGATGGCAAGAACTTCAATGCCGGTGGACACAAGATTGGCGTTGGCCTCGAGTTGGAAGCCTAAGTTAGTTCAAGATGAAAAGCTGAATGCGCTGCCAGCAATATGCATACAGTACTAAACACACCAACAACAAATAGTAACATCAATAACATTACAACAGCAACAAGAGAAACAAATTAAAAGTGTAACAACAATAAAACACAGAAAAAAACAAAACAACAAAATTACACTACACGAATCTTCATGTTTAGCAAAGCATTTGCCAACATTTGCTGCGGCCCCGGATCAGATTGTAGTCCGTTCGATCGTTGGACGTAGTCTCGTTTAGTGCATAGCTAAGTACATATTTATTGTTGGCAAACAGTGAAATACATAATTTACCTATTAAAAAACAAAAACAACAAAAAACAAAGTGTAAAAAAAGCTCGGCATTATTTCTGCACAGAGAGTGAGTGATGAACAGCACCAGATAGAATGAAAGCAACCTTTGTCAAATAAATACAATAACACTAGTAGTGTGCATTTAAAACTAAAATACTTTATTTTCTAATGCGATTATAGCTATAGCCTGTGTCTGCCTATCGGCGATATCGAAAGCTGTTATCGATGCTTGCTCGCTTGCTCAGTAATCAATTCCGTTGTTAGTGGGCGGGAATAGAGCCTCAGCCGTTTCATGTTTGATTGTTTCCACTGAGTTTTGAAAGTTGTGAAAAATGTATTTCTTTAGATGGGTAAATATTAGTACTGTTAAGCGTAGCCGTAGCATACGTTGCCTCACAATTCACTTGATTTTATTCTACAACGACTAACAATTCTGTGCTCAATCATTTTCATATTCAAAGAAATTCTGGTGATACAACACAGCTGTAAAAAAATTTTGAAACCGTATAATACGCTTGAATTATACAAATTATTTATTTGGCCAAAAATGGCGCCGCCTGTTTATGCTGATTTGGGCAAGCTGGCCCGCGATTTGTTCAAGCGGGGTTATCATCCTGGCCTATGGCAGCTCGACTGCAAAACTATGACTAGCTCCGGCATCGAGTTCTTTACGACTGGCTTTGCCAGCCAGGATGCCAGCAAAGTGATGGGCTCTTTGCAAAGCAAATATAATATTGAGGATTATGGGATTACGCTCACCGAACGATGGAACACGGATAATCTACTCTATGGCGAAATTGCACACAAAGATAAGTTGCTTGAGGGCCTCTTGCTTGCATTGGAGGGCCGTTTTCAACCATCATCAGGGTGCGTATTCTCACAATCCACTGAAAGTTGATTCAATTACTATTCCGAATGTATTGCTTATATAGCGATAAAAGTGGCAAATTCTTGGCAAGATATGCCCAAGAGTATTTCAACATACTAGGCAAATGTGATAAAAAAAAAGATCCCATAATTGGTCTCTCTTTGGTGGTGGGCGACAAGGGGTTCTTGGCCGGCGCTTCCACTGACGTCGATATACACGCCGAAAATGTGAATTGGAAAAAAAACCTGGGCTGGACCAATGAGAAGACAACCTTGCATGGCGAACTGTAAGTGCAGAGTAAACAATTTGATTTTTTTATGTATATGTATATAAAAACACTAAAAAAAACTTTTTAACTCTGTTAAAGAATTAATGCTAAAGGCTGGCTGGTCTCGCTGTTCCATAAGGCAACTGATCAAATAGACGCCGCTATTGAGCTCGGCCAGCCCGCCACGCGAATGGAAGGTGAAGACTCGCCATTTCGAGATATCAATGCTGGCATAGGCATGGTCTATCGTTTGGAAGGTGATGCGCTGATTCGTGCCAAAATTAACAGTAATGCCGAACTAGGCCTGGGCTTTCAGCAGAAGTTGCGTGATGGCATCACCATGTCCATATCGACGGTGCTCGATTGCAAGCACTTCACCGATGGCGATCACAAATTCGGCGTTGGCCTCTCCTTGGAGTGTTAAGAGCAGTTGTCCATATCGCTATCACATTTGTTGCTTTCATTGAATTTGTGATTGGTTGTTAAACGTTCAACACTTGTTAGTATTTGTGTCCTGCCTAAAAGAAATGTATTCATACATAGAGGTGTGAAAATTGAATTAAATAAATTCATATATTAATAGTTTTTGGATTAACGTCAAAATGAGATCAATTGATCAATTAAAGAACTCATAAAATGCACATAAATCTATATTTAGCTTGAAATATATTTGGATACTTGCTTTAATTACATAGGAGATATAATGGACGGGGCTGAATCGACTTCCCTAGTGACCGCGTCCCCTGCAATGCCACCTTATGCCCGTTACATATGTACATCCATTATACTCTGATTTTCCATACTCAATGGGTTCAGGGTAAACAAAGAAATGAATATGAAGTGAATAAATAGTTCACAGAATGTTGGCTTCTTGAAAAAATAAATCTTTTAATTAATCGAGTCATATTTGCTTCAATTGTAGATCTTAATTCTAGATTTAAGCTTTGAAAGTTTTTATTAAAATATATTTTGTCTTATAGCTAGAGGAAATAAAAATTCATAGCTGTGCCCTCTAATACATAACTATAAGAAATAAAACAAATAATAATTAAAAATAAATACAATAATTATGTATAGCTTAATTTTCAATAAAAAATTTCGTTATGCTTCGTCTTTGTAGTAAACTGATTTGAAAAATATATCAAAAATAAATGATTCTTTTAAATAAACAAAAAATTAGTAAAATTTTAATTTGGACTTTTTAAATTTTTAGTGAATTGACGAATTAATTAACAAACATGTCTGTTTTTAACAAATCTCGATTTACACTAAGGAGAAAGAGGAAACTGCTTCCAGCATTACCGCCTGAGGAAATGACTCCCGAGGATCGAGCCAACGCCAACGATAAAAATGACACTGATAAAGAACTCTATGAGGAGATTATACCTGCGCCCGTTCTTCCGGACGAAATGCCAACATATTTTCACATCGGTGTCCTGGCGAAGGAGTGCTTAGTGAACGGCTATAAAATCGGTGCTTGGCACTTCGATTGCACCACGGACATTGGCGATAATCTAGCCCTGTATAGCTTTGGCACCGGCAAACCGCAGTTCAAAAACGTTTTCGGCGGCGTGGGAGCCCGCGAGTACCTGGGGAGCCTCAGCCTGACACAGGTCTGGATGACTGACGGCCTCGTCGGCATGGTGGGTTTGGAAAACGAACTGTATGGTGGGACGGCAAATACATTGCTACGAGCGGCATATGAACAGAACGATAGGTAAGCAGAGCGAGGCAGCAGAAGGTCGAATACCTATGTGTTTATACATATGAGTGTATATCATTATGATATGATGGTATGCCATATTCTGACCTGTAGGTCGAAATGTACATTCAACATTCCACTAAAGCCTTTTAGATTGCTTATATTTTGTTTATACCATGAACCCATTGAAATTGAACAGTTATGGCAGAGCCCACAGGCCATATATAAGTATTCGTCATCGGGATATTGGGTTGAGTCGATATAGTAATCTGCTGTCTCTGTCTCTGTCGCTCATTTCGCCAGCTCTCTCACAGTTTCTCTGGCTTTCTATGTCCCTTGCTCTCTACCTCTCTTATCTGTTCTTTTTGCGGGCGGCCCATCTAAATGTCCGCCTTTCCGTCCGTCCTCTTAAGAAAATGTAACTTTAAATCCAAAAAAAGTACGAGAGGAGCATATATTTCATAATTCGTTCATTTTCTTATCGAAAAAAACCACCATTTTACTTTGACTTAGACGTGTGCTTTGGCACAATCACACGATAAACATTTAGGAAAGTTAAGAAAGATATAGATCTAAATTAATAACCTACCTAAAATTTCTTCTTTATTTTATTTTTATTTAGATCTGGTGTCAAGGTTGAGCTCCACTCCGGCTACGAGGTGACTCCATTTAAGTTTCATATGATTATACCAGTTCTGAGGGAGCCCAAACTAATGGGCTACGTGCTTCTGAACCCATTCAAGCAATATTTATTGGCGTACCGCGCGGTCTACGACATTGAAAATAAAGGCTTTGACAAGCATGCGATCGGCCTGGGCTTCTACAATGGCAGCACCGAATGGAGTCTTAAGCTGTAAGTATTTCGTTTTCCCTGCCTTCCACATTCAAATGCAACAAGATACGATTAATGCTTTGCGCACCCAGTGAGAACTTCGAGGATCTACGTGGCTCCGTATTCCAGCGCCTGGGCGATCGATTTGCCATTGCCGCCAAGGTAAATTGTTATAAATCCGAGGAGAAGCAGTATGCCATCGGCGCACAGGTTACATTATTCGAGAATGTCATCATCAAGGCGAAATACCGGCATGATGGCTTCTTCGGTATGGTCTACCAACAGACTCTTAACGATAATATAGCGATCATGTACCACTTTGGCTTCGCTATCAAGGATCCTTTTAAAGGCGATCATAAATTTGGTCTTTCGTGGAGTATGAGGGCGTAACTTTCAAAACATTTGTTAATAAAATATATTCTGGTAAAGATTTTCTGCGTATTCTTTATTATTTTTACTAGATTTCTTATCTTATCCATATAGTATATTCTCTTTCTAGCATACAAAAGCCTATCTTTGATTAATACTTCATATTTATTATGTTAACTATAAATTAAATAAAAAATAATTAAATTATTTATCCAAATTTCCAAATTTTATTTTATTTTTTTAAATTCGCGGTTACTTATTATTATTTTTATATATATTATAAAATATGTCTGTCTTCAAAAAACGTAGATTAACTGCATGGAACAAGAAAAAAAATCGACAGGTTCCTGCAGAATCAGCTCAAGAACCAGATCCAGCAGATGCTGCTCAAGAGCCCCATGAGGCGGAATATGAGATAATACCGCCCGTACCTTTGAAAGGGGAAGTGCCGACTTTTTTTCATATCGGTCGATGGGCCAAGGAGTGTTTGATCACCGGATATAGGATCGGGGTGTGGCACATCGATTGCACTACCAGAGTTAAAGAAGAGCTGTCCATGTACAGTTTTGGGTCCGCTAAGCCCGATTTTGAAACTATTACGGGTGGCGTGGGATTCAAGGAGAAGCTTGGACTTCTGACCATGTCACAGGCTTGGCTGACACATGAGTTTTTTTCTTCGATTGGTTTACAGAAAAGAACGGACAGCATCGGTGGGGAGGCCATATTGCGGGCCTTATACAATCGGGCAGAGTAAGTAAAAGGTGGAATGGATGCGGTATTGTGGATGTGGCTCTGGATGTAATTTTTATTCACAGCTAGGTTATTTTATATTATATTTTACGATTATAAAAGATAAAACTATGAACGTAGCTCATTTCATATAATTGTTTCTGTTGTCATTTAGAACTGCCTACAAAATTGACCTCCTATGTGGCGTTGAGCGTTCGCCTGTCAGGATAAAAGTGATCGCGCCCATTGTCCATGTAACGAAGATCATGGGCTACGCTCTCTGGCAGCCAGCCGAGAATTTTATGCTGGCATATCGAACGGCTTTTGATTTTGAGGAGAAATCATTTGAAAAACATGCATTTGGTGTGGGTTATAATAATAGATCCACCGAACTCGCTCTTAAATTGTAAGCCTTGTGCTCTATTCCCAATTTGTATTTTAATTTTTAGTTTTAATGTCGCCCGCTTACAGTGAGGACTTCCAAGATTTACGTGGCTCTATATTTCAGCGCTTGAGCGATCAATGGGCCATTGCAGTAAAGGCCTCGCTTTCGCAGTGGGAAAACGTGGAGTATTCAATTGGATGCCAGTGCATGGTCAAAGATAGCGCACTGATTAAAGCCAAAATAACATCTCAAGGATATTTGGCCTTTGTTTACCAGCAATCCTTCACCGACAGTGTACGGATTATGTACCATTTCGGCTTATCGCTAGACGATCCAATCAAAAGCAACCATAAATTTGGTATTTCGTGGAGTATCAATTGTTAATCAGACATAGATAGAGTCTAATGTTTACAGAATGTAACTACAAATCGTTGATTACAACAGAACAGAGTTGAGTTGAGTAGGTAAAATAGGTTGTAATGAAATGAAAAATGTTGAAATTCGTAAAACTGACAATAAATATTAATATATATGCATATAAACTATTAATATATATACATATATACTACGTCGCTAATTATACTTGAAAATAATTTACCAAAAATTCATATTTTCATATTTTAGCCCATTTCGAAGATCAATCAGTGCTATTATACCACTATGGATTATATTAGTTGTTTTCGAAATATTGAAAAAGTGTGCTTTGAATTAAAGTAAAAAATTTTGATAAACAAAAACTTTTGGCTGTGTATTGGATAAAATCAATAGTTTCTTTATTTTGGATATTTTTAATTAAAATTCACTGTTTTTAATTGATCAAAATGTCTAAATCCAAATGGCAAGCACGTCACGATAAAATCAGAGAGTCATTTGGCTTGCCCAAACTCAGAAGAGATAGCGAGGAACCACAACCACCAGAATCGAAATCAGAGACTCGGTCAGAGCACAGTACGTCCGGCCCCACACAGTCTGATCCAGATATGGAGACGGAATTGGGTCCGTATTATTTAGATGGAGACATGCCGAGTTACAATTTCATTGGTAAATTGGCCAGACAATGTTTGGTAAATGGTTATAAATTGGGCACTTGGCGTTTCGACTGCACTTCTGAGCTGGGCGAGAATGCCAAATTGTATAGTTTCGGGGCAGGAAAACCCAATTCTAAATCTGTTGTGGGAGGTTTCGAATTTGGCGAACGGTTGGGTATGTTCCATTTGTCGCAGGCGTTTAGAACCGACGGCCTATTTGGTACGCTCGGTATGCGTAGTGAAATTTTCGGCGGTTTGGGGCTGTCCATGCTTCGGGCCATTTACAATCACGACGAGGAGAACAAGTAAGTCAATGAGTCAATGTAATCAATTAATGAAATAATTACTAATTGTACTTTATATAATTACTGTTTAGAGACGATAGGCTGACGCTTGAGGTGCAGGCCGCTTTGGAGTTTGATCCATTCAAGATTGAACTGATTGCACCCCTTATAAATGGCTCGATGGTGTCGGGCTATACCTATTATGAGCATCCGTCCGAAATATTTATATGTTCCGTGGGAGCGGTTGTCGATGTTCCTAAATTGGAGGTGAATTGGCATGAACTCGGCGTGGGGATTCGAAGTGAACAGGATTACACTGAAATTGGTTTAAAGCTGTAAGCCTTATTGCAGAGCTTTCATTTCATCCGTCTATAAAATATGCTTACGCAGAGAGAACTTCAAGAATATTAAAGGATCAATATTCCAGCGCATAAGCGAGAACATTGTGCTGGCTGTGATGGCCAGAATGACTGAATGGAAGGATCTGAAAGTTACCATAGGCGGCCAGTACGAAATAGACGATGAGAAAATCATTAAAGCGAGAATATGCAGTACTGGTTATATGGGAATAGTTTACCAAGTCGATCTTAACGAGAGTATTCAATTTATGACTCACGTTGGATTTAACGTGAAGCACCTTGTTGATGGAACCCATACATTTGGTGTGGCATGTAATTTAAGTTGTTAATTGGAAACATTTTCAATTTTAATATTCATTTACAAATGGGAACAATTGTTTACAAGAATGTTAAGCTCTGGATTAATTTCTGGCTAAATTTTCCTTGCCCCGTTCGTTCTTCTGCTGCTGGAGTTGTGCATTTCGTATTGCCATTCCTTCCTTTACCCAAGGATTCGTCATGACTTCGACCAAGCTGATGCGGCCTTCACAACGTATGAGCTGATTTACAAAATATGTATAAAACATGTATAGCATTATTTAGGGATTATTATAGTTACAACTGTTTGTAAAAGTTATATACTGGCATTGTTGTTGCCAAAAATGTAATATAGCTAGTGAAAATGATTAAAATATAAGCGTTATCATATTAACTACTAACTAAATATAGCATTATGTTCTCTTGATGTTTAACAATTAACTTACTCCCGAAATAAATTCCTTTGCGCCGGCTGACATATGCGATGGATAATGCATATCCAGGTGCTTTATTTTCTTATATGTTATTTCCGAGTTGTTCGATTCAAAGGGTGGATTACCCACCAAAAATTCGTAGCACAATATTCCCAAGCACCACTGATCCACGCTGGCATCATAATACTCTCCCTTCACCATTTCAGGCGGCAGATAGTCTAAGGTTCCACACAATGTTTTGCGCTTGTTATGGGGCGTGTGCGCAGACCAGCCAAAGTCCGCCAGCTTTAAATCATCTGAGCTTGTCAACAGAATGTTTTCTGGTTTTAGATCGCGATGTATAACATTATTGAGATGACAATAGTTGAGTGCATTGGCCACCTGATAGGTGTACTTGGCTGATCGCGGCTCATCRAAGCGATGATTCGGTGCATTGCGCAAATGTTTGAACAGTTCACCTTCAGAGGCGATTTCCAGTGCTAAATAAATCCGAGACTCGTCATGGAACCAGGTTAGCAGGCGCAATATGTTGGGATGTTTGAGACGCGATTGTATTTCTATTTCGCGCAGCACCTGGCGTTGCACATTGCCCTTGCGTAGTTCCTCCTTAAACATCACTTTCATGGCGACCATAAAGTGAGAATGCCGTTCGCGTGCCAAGTAGACRCGTCCGAACTTGCCGCGTCCYAAGGGTGCACCCATTTCGAAATCTCGTGAAGTCCATTGATAGCTGCAGTGGTATTTCACATAACATAACATAACACATATGGATTATAAAAAACATACGGTTTGCCATAGGCATCGTGCGACATCATTTTTAGACACATTTGTTTTATTGGTTCTTGGTGCTCCTCGGGCACATTTTTTATTAAATGTGGCAACTGATCTCGAGTTGCGTGCTTTGTTCGTGTAAATGCCATAGTTTCAAAATTGTTAATTAACAAATGCAAAATAAATATTTGTCCCTTTTGTATTTTCAGTTTAGTGTCACAGCTATTTGCGCTTTTTTTCGAATGCCAATTTTAACATCGATACTACTCGCTGCATTCGAGTTTGTACTCGATATATTGTCAATCGAAATCAGTTTGCCACGCGATAATCGAGGGCTATTTTAGGGCCTCATCGGTTGAGCGTTACATTTAAATTGGGATCAGATAGAATTTCGGTCATTTTTATAATATAATCTTAAATATTAATAAATATAAACAATTTGTTATTTTAATATTAATTTAAAGTTTAATTTTATATAGTTACAATGAGACAGAAATACTTAATAATACAATTTGCCTTTTAAAGTCTAATTTACATACAGAATTATCAGTGTTTATATTTAAACATTAAATTAACAATTGGTATAATGAATTACAAAAATACATATTTAAAAATGACCTGATTGGCATGTAGAATATTGAGGGTTATCTAATTTCTGGCTTGATTTTCTTTACCCCGCTCGTTTCTCATCTGCTGGAGTTGTGCAGCTCGGATTGCCATTCCCTCCTTCACCCAAGGATTTGTCATAACATCTATCAGACTAATGCGACCCTCGCGACGGATAAGCTGATTCAAGAATTAAACAAAAGATATCAAATATTGTATTTAGGGGTTAACACAATATCTATATATCAAAGAATCAACTTACTCCTGAAATAAGTTCCTTGGCGCCCGGCGACAGATGCGATGGATAATGCATATCCAAACGCTTGATTCGAGCCTGCGTATTCTCAGAGGTGCTAGCTTCAAAGGGTGGACTACCCACTAGGAACTCAAAGCACAGTATGCCCAAGCACCATTGATCGACGCTGTCATCATAGGAGTGTCCACTGACCATTTCGGGCGGCAGATAATCCAATGTGCCACACATCGTTTTTCGCTTGTTGTGCGGTGTATGAGCAGACCAGCCAAAGTCTGCTAACTTCAGATCATCGGTGCTCGTCAATAGAATGTTTTCGGGCTTTAGATCGCGATGTATAACATTATTGAGATGACAATAGTTGAGTGCATTSGCCACCTGATAGGTGTACTTGGCTGATCGCGGCTCATCRAAGCGATGATTCGGTGCATTGCGCAAATGTTTGAACAGTTCACCTTCAGAGGCGATTTCCAGTGCTAAATAAATGCGAGACTCGTCATGGAACCAGGTTAGCAGGCGCAATATGTTGGGATGTTTGAGACGCGATTGTATTTCTATTTCGCGCAGCACYTGGCGTTGCACATTGCCCTTGCGTAGTTCCTCCTTAAACATCACTTTCATGGCGACCATAAAGTGAGAATGCCGTTCGCGTGCCAAGTAGACGCGTCCGAACTTGCCGCGTCCCAAGGGTGCACCCAAGTCAAAGTCTCGTGAAGTCCATTGGTAGCTATGGTTGAACGTCAACTTAATAAACATTTATTTTGCATTTGGGAAAACTTACGGTTTGCCATAGGCATCGTGCGACATCATTTTTAGACACATTTTTTTGATTGGTTCTTGGTGTTCCTCAGGTACATTTTTTAATAAATGTGGCAACTGATCTCGAGTTGCGTGCTTTGTTCGTGTGAAGGCCATAATTAACGAATTTTTTTTGCAAATAACACTATAAATATTATATATGACTATTACTATTTGCGCTTTTTTCGAATATAAGTATTTTTTTTCGATACTACTCATTGCATGAAAAATTTTTTTCGATATGTACTCGATCATTATTCTCGTCAACTTTGAGGCTATGATATCGTCATTATACTTCATCGATGTTTTTGTCTGCCTTTGTCAGAAAAAAAAGAGCACACATTGTGTAGACGTGATTTAACAATTCAATTTTTTTTGTGTACGACAGCAGAAAATATTTTTTTTCTTCTATGTGTAGCAATCATTTGAGTTTTGCGCGTTAGTTTATGCAAGTGTAATTATTGATTCCATCATTTCTTGAGGCAATTATACAACTGTAATTATATAGGCCACTGGAAGATTCTTGGGTAAGCAAAAACAAAATGGCGTACACGCAAAAAAATGCCTTTACTGTACACATTCGCACACATGCTCAGATGCTTTACAATACATATTCCTAAATTGGGTTTATCACATTCTCTTGAATTTTTGCATTTTCTGTTTTGCTACGTAAAAGGGTGCGGCGCACAGTTTGATGTAAAGGTAAGTTCCAAAAGGTTAAAGTGCTCAAACATAATACGTAAATACCATACGTAACGGTACGAAAAAATGTCCGATGCGATGAGCGCACCGTCGCCATTAATACCCCAGCTACAAGAGATGCAGCAGCAGCAACAACAACAACAAAACGCCAACTCTGCCAATGCGCAGCAATGGAACAACTACGCATGGTGGCAGCATCATGGTGGCAATGCAGCCGCCTATCAACAACAATATCAACAATACTATCAATATTATATGCGCTATCAGCAGCAGCAACAGCAGCAGCAACAACAACAACAACAGCAGCAGGTAACATCGACTATTAGTTCGTCGAATGCGCCGCCTGGTTTTAGTAATGCTCTGGCGGCACCTCCGCTACCTACGGCACCACCACCGCCACCACCACCTCCTGCTCAGTCAGGTAATAAAAATCAGCAGCAGCAGCAGCAACAACAACAGCAGCAGCAGCAGCAGAAAAATTTTGGAGGCATACGCTTCAACTTGAATTTGAATCAAAAACGTTTGGCAAATGCACCAAATCCGCTGCAGCAGCAACAACAACAGCAGCAACAGCAACATCAACAACATGCAATGCAGCAGCTTAATCAATATAATAACATGAACAACAATTCCAACAAAAAGAAGCGCAAGCGAAATAATAAAAACAACAATAACAATAACATGAACAACAATATGAGCATGAACAAACAACAACAACAACAACAACAACAACAGCAGCAGCAACAGCATAGTGGTTATGAAGCGTCGCATCCTGCCTTTCCGGGTATTTCTCTAAATCCATTCGCCGCACCAATCGTGCCGCCGACGCCAGACTTAAGCAAGCCACCACCCCCTTTGCCCTTAATACCAACACCTCTAGCGACAGCAGCAGCAGTTGTTGCTCCACAACAACAACAGCAGCAGCAACAGCAATCGCCGTTAGCGGTCTTGGAGCCCCAACAACCAAAGCAGCAGCAGCAGCAGCAGCCACAACTGACACCAGCCGCAGCAGCATTTAAACGTCCCAATAATAGCTTTCAGATGGCCTCGAATGATTCGTGGCCAGATTCGTTGAATCAGTATGTGGCGCGTTGCTATTCCAAGTGTACCACCGACCTGGACAAGGATCAAATTGATATATGTCTGAAGGGTAAAATTATTGCCGCTGCCAACCGCAACGAACTCTGGACACGTGATTGGGACAATGAGCCCATGCCCACGGTGCATAGCGAGCGCGATGCCATCGATGTGGTGCTCAGCAATGTGACGCCTCCGCAGCCGCAGCGCAGCAATTACTTTAACAAAAAACAGCAGCAGCAGCAACAACAGCAATCACAGTCACAATCGCACCAAACACCACAAAAGCCCGGTCCAAAGACGCAAAATGTGAATCACTTTAAGCAGAAGGCGAATGCCTTTAATAAATTTGCAACCGGCAACCACGGACACCACCAACAGCAGACGTCGCGCTATTCTAGGAGTCGCTCTCGGTAAGTAATAAATATTTAAAACTTTCAATTAATGAATTTAATTTTAATTTGTGTATTAATCATAAATTCATATATTGCAGTTCGCCCACATCGTCCACATCTTCGACATCGAAATATAATAATAGGAAACGTTATTCGCGCTCACCAGTTTCTCGTTCGCGTTCTCGATCCCGTTCCCGTTCTCGTTCCCGTTCCCGTTCTCAATCGCGTTCGCGTAGCAGCAGTGCCGGCAGTCCACCAGCTCGCAAGGTGCTCCGTAAGACAGGCTCGAATGATTCGTTGAGCAGCGATTTTATACCCATCAATTCGAATATGTCCAGGAAACAGCAGAAAATGCTAATGAAGAGGAACAAGCGTGCCGCGGCCGCCGCTGCCGCCGTTGCAGGGAAAAAGAAGACGCCACATTTCTATGCGACGCATTCGTCGTCGGTTGGCGGTGCTGTTGATGATGACACAGCGCGCTTGCAACAGCGTGCGGCACGTTTCTCACAGTCGAGCGGTGGCTCGGCTAAGAAATCTGTCGTCGCAATTGCAAGCTCACCGTTTGGTCTCACCACGGCCAAGCACAAGAAGAGATTGCAGGCCTCGGCGGCAGCTTCTCGCTCATCGTCGGCCATGTTCTACGAGGATGATGCTGGTGCAGGAGCTGCGGGCTTAGATTTACTCGATTTGCATATTGTAGGCACGTGTAGGGATTTAGAAAAGTCTTTCTTGCGTCTGACCAAAGCGCCTTCAGCATTCGAAGTGCGTCCCGTTGAGGTGCTCACCCACTCGTTGGCCAATGTAAAGAGTAAATGGCGAGCCAACCAGGATTATCATTATGCGTGTGATCAGTTGAAGTCCATACGCCAAGACCTCACTGTAAGTTCCAGGAGTTAGTTAATAATATGCTTCAATACAAATTTATTTGCTTTACAGGTCCAAGGTATACGCGATAAATTCACCGTTGAGGTATATGAGACGCATGCGCGCATTGCCATGGAGAAAGGTGACCACGAAGAGTTTAATCAGTGTCAGACACAGTTAAAGATGCTCTACTTGGAATTGGGCAACAGCAGCAATTCGCTCGAGTTCACAGCCTATCGCATTATCTATTACATATTCACGAAAAATACCTTGGGTAAAGATTTCTACTTTATACTTAAACTTTTCTTTTTCCAATGAATCATCATTTGAATGCTATGACGCATGCTCCATTACTAATGGCCCTAACTATACAACAGATGTTACATCTTAGTGTTATATGATTAGTGCCAATGCCATAATTAGATAATTAATTATCGATTTATGTGTACATCATTATATATATATTATTTCCTTTTTATAGACATTACAACGGTGTTGCGTTCTATAACAGCTGATCAGCGCGAGAATCCTGCCATTGCGCATGCTCTAGATTTTCGTTCCGCTTGGTCGCTGGGAAACTACTGCAAACTCTTTGAGCTGTATAAAAAGGCACCGCTCATGTCAGGCCATATGATTGAATGGTTTTTGGAGCGGGAGCGCAAGGCAGCACTGCGCGTAATTTTTTTTTCGTAAGTGAAAGAATCATAAATATTATAATATTTTTGACTAAAGCTTTTTTTTTCCATTGCTTGCAGCTATCGTCCCAACATTAGTGTTGACTATGTGTCAAATCTGTTGGCCTTTGATAGCACTGAGAAGTGCAAAGAATGGTTAGACACCTTCAGTTTACCCTATGCCGCAGATGGTGCTCAAATTGATTGCAAAAATGCAGCTGCGATTGCCATTTGAAGCCTCAGAGCTAGTCTATTAGGCGTTCTGAATTAAACTTCAATCCGTAGTGGAGTCGTGGAGCGTTGTGGCTAGGGCGCCACTCAGCAAGCGCTCCATTAAAAACAAGACACAACAAATCAACCAGCCATCCGTATGAAAACTGTTCGGCTCTTAATAAGCAGAACTTGTCTCTTTCGCGGAACTGATGCTGTTACATCTATCTCTTTCTCTACTCTCCCTATCTCTCTTCAGCGTGTCTCCTTTCGCCCATTGTACATATTTCCAAACTAATAGTGTTTAATTGTATATAGATTTTATTTTGAAAGGAGTAGTTCTCTAAAGGGAATATTTTGATAAATATTCAGTCTGGTCCCCCCTTCCAATTGTATCTCAGTTCAGGTATCCCGCTTCTCTTTAGCTCAGTCTATCAGAGTGTACACCCCCAACACATAGTCGATTCACATTCTAATGGATCTGCAATTAATGTGTCATCTGCACTTAAACGTCTCATCAAAGCTCTACAACGTCCAGTCACAATACTCAATTTTGCTGAACACCGTGGAACACTTTGAATCATTTGATCTGCACGTGGCAGCATCATGGAACTCCGCGTCGGTTTTATTGCGCTTTAGGTGAATGCTGTACTACTGATGTTGGAAATGCTCAAAGTCAACTGGGACTCGGCAATCAGCGCTACATGGCAGCACGAATCGTGGTTACAGCCCAATGCAGAGGATCGGAGATCGAAGCAATGGATGCGAATCGCTCTGAAATTGAATGATTTAGCGATCAACGTTGGACCAGTCCAGATGACAGTCCTCAAAGGAGTGCCCGGAACTTTAAAGGGAAAACCCTTGTCTCCTATCTGGATCACATCATCTGTTGCAATGCCATTCATTGAGTTGGCGAGCTGCGCTGGATAGTCCATTTAATTCAATAGGATAGCGCACGGATCTTCAGAGGAAATACCATCTCGCGCCAGCTCTGCAGATCTCGTCATCTTCCATTTTAAATTTCACTGTAGCAATATGTTGGTGGCTATAAGTGGAAGGCATCTGCGGAACATTTTTTCAGGTTTTAGGAGTGTCTCCTACACAAGTAGAAGCAACTAAAATAATTCCTAATCCAATCCATAATAACATCAGTGAATCAAAGACTACAATTAAACAATTAAAGAGACGGTCTAAAGTGAAAGTGCAATCAAAATTAAAATGTGAACTCTACTTATCCCAAAACTGAACTGAACTGAACTGAACCGAATAGAGAAGTGAAGAATATTGTATAATACACAACAAGCGATTAACCACAATATTAACAAAAAGATAAAGCTAACAATTCACACAACAAACAAAAACATTAGGCTACAGAGCAGAGCATAAATGAAATATGAATGGCCGCAAAGTTGGCTGATATTTTATTTTGTTTGTTTATTTTTTTCTTTTTGTTGATTTTTGTTTTTTTTTTTTTTTGATTTTACAATTTTATCGTATTCTAAAGAAAATTAATTTTAAGATCTAGTTTTAAAGCCTGTTATTTGTTTAATTTATTGAAAACAAGTTTATACTAATGTCTTGTCTCTCTATTGTATACCTGTATATATATACATATATATACAACAACATCATCAACTTCAACATCGACATCATCCAAACAACAAAATCATCTTCAACATCAAAGCAACAACAACAACAACAACCGCAACTGCACTGCATGGGGACAAGGTATTCGAAACAGCAAAAACGAGCAAGCAAAAAGAGGAAAGTGGAAGATCCGTTCAACCCATGTCCAGCTATCACACGGCGGAGAGCCAAGCCTATCACCACGTCGAACCTCAGTAGTCATCGCAGCTGTTCTGGATTTTGTAAGCTCTTCCAATTTTAATCTGTTGATATAAGAAGAAAATAGAAAAAAAAAAAAACGAAAACAAATATATATTAAAATATTTATGTTACGTGAGAATGGATATAACAAATTTATAAATGGCAATTAATTGGCTATATTAGATGATTTGTTTATGTGTGGGGGCATGTATAAGGTATATTTATTCATCTAGTTTAGGCTAGTTTTAAGCACAACTTTTTTGTTGTTCACTTATGCTAAGGTTAATTGTTGTAGTTCTTTTTAATTTTGATGAATTTTGAAAAAAGTCAAATTGAAATCAACAGAGAATTTCGACGCATTTTTCAGCTGAGAATTTGCCAGAAATGCGTCTGTGTGGCATGCGAAAAGTGAAACAAATTGCGCTTTTTAAATAATAATAATAAAACAAAAACAAAACAATTCAATTGCGTTTTATTCTAAAACATTATTTCTTAGGCACCTGTTGCGAAATGGCATGATTAAGTCTCTCACCTGTTGCTTGCGCCGCCGTCAAAACAACTATTCCAGTGTAGAGCTTTAGCCGAGCCACAAACCATTGTTGATTTTCCCATTTGCGCACTAAGCTTTCACCAACGGTGAACGGATGCTGCCTGGTTGTTGTCTCGGAAGACGACCGTGTGACTGTTCGAAAGGAAGCGACTACTATTTAAGGATGCTGCGTTGCTGCCTTAGCTTCAGTTACCGCGCGGCGCTTGAGTTCGTTAGATCGAGCTGAGAACCTAGAAAATAAAATCTAATAAATATGTGGACCAAGCTGATAATCAAATGATGTAGATTAACACTTAATATTGTGAGTGCAGTGTAGGAAAAACAAATAATTAACAGAAATAATAAACAACAGGTTTAAAACTTAAATTATAATAATAAAAAAAATGTATTAATAAAAACAAATCAAAATACCCAAATATTTACTAATATCAATACACATGGAAAAAAATTGAGTAATTTAATAATTTTAGTTGTGCGTAAAAAATAGGAGTTAAACGCCTATTTTTAATATATATAAATAAGGTAAATAGAAATGAAATCATTGACAACATTTATTTAAATTAAAAGCCATAATATATTGTTAAATATGGAAACATCATTTTTGAAGTAAATATTTTAATCTATGTTTTAGATATTTTACCTCTTTCATATTGAGTAAAAATAAAAAAATATA